TGATCTAAAGTGTTGCCAAAATGCTTCGCGAGCATCATCATCTGGCAAATCTAGCCACTTCCCAAGAAAATTAAGACTCGAAAGACGTCGTGCTTTTTTAAGCCTGTTGCTCAGCCTTGGCGATCTAATTTCCGTGGACCGTAAGGGAACTGGCGAATGGTTGATCACGCCAGGAGCGAGTCCGTTGGAGCGGCTCCTATCTTCATCAAGTCCCTCCAAATTAGACATGTCATCGTTTCTGGATTTGAGAAGCTTCATGGGACTTCGTTCAATGGAGCTTTTAACATCCACATATCTCATTTGCGGACTCTTCCGATTTCTGACATGATCCCAAAAATCCTGCGAATGGTTGTCCTCACTGAACTCATCCAAATTCGAAGTGGTCGAGTTTTGTCTAGTTGATAGAGGCCGGAGCAAGTGGCTTTGGCTTCTGTGAATACATCTTATTTCTGAGGGGAGCTGTACGCAAGATATATTAGAATTCATTGAATTGCTGAGTAGTTGTGTAGAAATGTTCTTGTGCTTACTCGAAGGAGCGATACAATGGACAGGATCCTGGCATGACGCCATGAGGAGGCATTGCCAGATTTCGAAGAATGGAGGCACGATTGCATCCGTTCATGTTGTACTGTACAAGATCTCTGTCTAGACAGTATCAAAATGCAAATCTAACTTGCATTACTGTATTTCAAGGGGAATGATTTGGTTAAGGTGTCAGATATTGTATTGTACAGAAAATATCTCTCCTTGAACGAAACAAGAAACCAATGCGCGGAAATGGATTCAAAGAAGTAGAGGTATATAAACCTTGCAAGAACGAGAAGACCGCAAGAATTGTTGCTTCATAAGTGAAGTGATAGACAGTTACGATAGCTAAATCCATATCAAGGTCAGAAATTATTTTTATGAATGACTAATCAAGACATCTCACATGATCAAGCAAGCATTATCCACAATTACCAATTTCAGATTAGCCCGTCGTGGCTGAAGTCTACTTTTGTATGGTATCGTTCTGTTCTGCGCTTAATTTGTCTCATGTCCGTGCCTTTGGTTCTTTGGTCTGCCATTTCTGCCATCCTACCAATCTGCCTCGTCTTTTTATTAGAGCCTCGCAACCAATATTGAGGAACGAAGAAACAATAACATCATATACCGGTACATCTCCTACACTTTCGACCCTTTCTTGCAATATTTACAACCAAGTTTCCTTTCAAGAGAAAGCGACACAACTATTACGACTACATTAATTTTCTTTCATATTTTGCGCATCGAAATCACGTATGAAGTATTTTTGAATGAAGACTTCAATGACATTGCAGCGCTGAATTTTGGTTTTCCTTTCTACCCCCCAAAAGTCTCCAACTACCTACCTACCCGTACAATCTTACCTTACCCTTACCCAAAAAAAAAGCGTCTCCTTCATCGGTAACACACATACCATCTGCGATCGCGACGCGAAAAAAAGGAATCCCCAAAAAATCTTTGGACCGCGAGACTACGTGATGGCCTCGACCAACGGGATTCTCAGTCCCCCCACTCAACCGCATTTAGATATTACACTATCAGCGAAACGAAAACGCGACGATAACATCGATCAGCCCGCTCTTATAAATGGCACCAGCAACGAATCCAAAATCGCAATTACAACAGAACCATCGACGATAGATACGCAAGGTCTTGTCGAAGATTTGATTGACGTACTCAAGAGGTGAGTTTTGTCTTTCAACACACCCTTTCAATCTGTTCATCAGGTAGCATAGCTTCCAGTATCATATCAATTCATTCCAGACCTATTACTGATCTGAAACTTTCTAGTCATGATCCCTCGCCCTCCATCTTAACACGAGCTCTTCCTGAATCAATCCCGTCGACCGAACCTCACGCTAAAAGACAAAAGTCAGATGGCGCGACTGATTCACCAACTATTCTATCACGCGCGACAGCAAATGAATATCTTTCTATCGATGAAGTTCTCAGAGATGTTGATACTGTCGCATCCGATATCATAGAAAGGCTACAATTGACTGTTGGCTCAAATCAGAATCAGTACATACCTGTTCCCGCTGGACAATCGGAGCTAGCTGTCAAGATTTTGGCCTTTAAAAAGAAAGCTCATGAGCTTGTGCGCAGAGAAAAGGCTACCACGGTGCTGCAAGAAAACGCGAATGATAATCAAATAATCAATTCCAACAGTTATTTATCAAACAGGAATTTTGGGTCCAATGCTAATGCGCCAGTTACTGCAACGTCGGAGGATAGCAAAGTGGTTCTTACACTCTACGGCAACGCCCCGCAACCGAAACAGTTATTCTCTAGTTTACAGGTTCCAATCAAGTATGACGGAGAATCGATTTCTCAGCCTCTTCGCGAAGCCGGCCTACCCAATGGTATTACAACAACGCAGATTGTTCCCTTACAGCCCACGAGCTTTGATGATAATAAGAAACGTCCGCAGACTTTAGGAGAGCTTTTTCCAACACCTCCAAACATTCATCCCTTGAAGCCGCCTAAAATTTCCAAGAGCTCGTTACCAACTTCAATCGATGGGTGGCACCAACCATTTGTTGCCGATCCACGAAGTACTAGCTATTGGAAACAACCACTCACTACTGGACAATGGCTTGATTATAGTAATACCTCGTCACTCAGCCCAGAAAGGAAACGCACTGGAGTTGCAGGTTCCAATGAAGATGCCGAAGCACCCATTGACTCGAGCGAAATCGATGCTGCTAAGTTGGATGCTTTGTTTCGTAGCGCGTATTCGGGATTTGCGCCGACCAAGGATGATTCCAAAGCTATCGCTCCGGAAAGTGTTTTGAGCAAGATCTGGTGGCAACGAGTCGGTGAAAAACGATGGGGAGATATAATTAATAGGGCTGAGGGGCTAGGCGATGATTATCCCACGGAGCCAAGTGCCAATAGCTTGGTTTTCAACGATGCAGAAATTGAGGAGCTCGAGCAAGCAGCGAAAGAATCGTCTGATGCTTCGATCGATCCTAGCTTGATGTCTACCGACTTGAATGTGGAAAAGACGGCAGAAGAAAAAGATGTTGAGGAAGTACTGCAGGGAATTTCGGAGTTGCTAGAGACTCTGAACTCATATCAAAGAAATCGACACGTTTCTCTCAATGCTACAGGTCGTCCTATTAGCGCGTTTGGGACGTCAGAAACTAATTTCATGGGCACTCCCTCGAAGCCCAGCGAATCAGAAGTGACGACATATGAGATTCTCAAATCGCAGCTAGCATTGATGGTTGCCATGTTACCACCATATGCCGTTGCGAAGTTGAACTCTGACCAGTTGGCTGAACTTAGCATCAGTACAAAGATTGAAGTCCAATTGAGCGATCAAAAAGGTGTCATGGAGGAAGACGAGATAGCAGCTCGCGCAAAGGTCGCGGCAATGAGCGCAGCCTCAAACACACGACCCACCACTAGCTCTTCGTTGCACAGAAGCTCTTCCTCTGCTGCACTTTACGGCAATCAATACTCGTCTTCGCGACCAGCTCCAGCCCCCACTGGACAACACTACGCTACTGCTCAAACACCAATCAGACCGCCACCAAGCAATTTGCAACGTCCGCCTGCTACTGCGCCGGTTCCTACTTCGTATACACAGCGTGCTCCATCTGCTCCATCGTATCGTCCGGCAGCTTATCCGGGGGCTGCATACCCACACCAGTTCCGAACGCCAGGTCCAACAGCACCGCAATACGCTCAGGCAAATGGCCAACAACAACAGTATCACCATAATACCCCCACTACCTCTTATACACGCCCTCCAACTCAGCCCTTCCAAAGCATTCCACAATCTACACCTCAGACAGTGCGATACCCAAGTCAGCCACCATACGTTGCCCAGCAACAGCCAATTCAAAATGGTGCTGCATATACACAGGCTTTTGGAAATGGAGCGCATGTTGGCCGACAGAGCTCGCCTCAGAAGCCTGTGTATAATCAAGCAAATCAACACTCTCAACCTCCAGTCCGCCCTCCGTACTCAACACCCGCCCCTCCAATTTTACCACCCAATGCCACTAGGCACATGCAAGGTCAGTTGGCTCAACCACCGGTCATGAATGGCTCCTCTCAATCACCTCAACCTCAGCCTCAACAGACTCTTCCGCCGCAATCACATCACCAGAATTCCTATAATAACATGAGTACTTTTTTAACTTCAGGCGAGCAACAGACTATAATTGACCGTCAGCGAGCCCAAATTGTTCAGCAGCAAGGAACCCAACATCAAGCAAGAAATACTGCTCAAGCAGGTGCCTTGGGATCACCGCAGCCACAAATCAACGGCAACAGTGCTGTTGCGGCAGGGCTATGAAGTGTTCGATGCAATCGTGTTTAGGTCGGGAATTTATCGAGGCAGGCATGTCTGAATAATCGTGCGATGGTAGCGCAAATCTTGGTAGGAGAGTGAGAACCATGTCGAGCACTTTTCTTTATGCTTTACGCGCAGAGTACTTTAATTTTCATGGATGGCGTTTATTAGGACTATTCAGTTACGGATGGGGCATGGATGGTAGGAAAGTCGAGGGAAGCGATTAGGAATGACTAGATAGATGGCCCATGATCAATACGTGTTCTTTTGGTGGTTACAGGGCTACATCTACAGCAAGCCAGTTGTTCACTGGAAGATGAAATTAAAACGTGTAAGATTATAGATCTTTGATTTTCAAATTCGTTAAATAAATTAGGTTATTCATTTTAATTGTGGTTGCGTTGGATGACTAGGTAATTTACTTGTATGCTATGGTGCCGCGAAGTCCTTGAAATCCTCAATACAGATACAGAGTTGAGTCTCGTTGGAATAAATGTACAATCATTGGAGTTTGACACCGTTTCCCCCTACCATTCCCATTCCGTGCCAATTCCTCCACCCGCCAGCAGTTTCACTGGGTAAACTAAAAGTACAGTACAATAAGGCATTTGAACCTCAAGAAAATTTTACAGCCAGGCTCACATAAATTCAATGCATCACTGTGAAATGATTAAGCACCAGAATAAACCGCGGTACAGCCTCTCCCACACTCAATTCTCTGTTCCACACTGACATTCCTCCCTCCAATCTTCACCGTCTTCCTTGGCGTAATCTGGAAGCGATGTTCCTCTCTCCTTCCTTTCTCTCTATCGGCCGCCAAATCTAGCGGCTGGATGTAAATTGGCTGGCTGACGTTATTTCTCTTTCCAGTGCCTAGTTGGTAGAATTCATTTCCGCCCCACCATAATACATCGGCACCCCAATTCGTATCGTTTGAGCTAGATTTAGAGGTAGCGTTCAGATGAGTTACGTTGTTCATTACAGCGGAGGCATGAGTGCTTCCAATGGAGAGTCGGGAGAGTCGGATAGGGACTACTTTGTTGGCAACTTCGTCGTATTCGAAGAGGCCAGAGAGAGCTTTCATTTTCGAGGGAAGTCCTTGGACGTGTGTCCAGCGGCCGTTTCCGAGGGTGCCGTAAATTCCTTGTCCGCATGCCCAGGTATCGGCAGTGATACGGCCTAGGTCTGCGGGAGGTTCTTCTTCTGATTGTCCGGCCACTCGGGTAGCGTCGACTGTAAAGAATGTATTTACACCCCCTGCGAAGACGCCGGTTACGCGAGGAAGTAGATTTGTGCCTTTGTAGAGTCTGTCAATGGGAACTAGCGAGGGAGCATCGATGGTAGATGCTTCAGAGTTGTATTCAAAGCCTAATTGGCCGACGGAATTATCGCCGAAGCTGAAAACTCGCCCTTGCGTATCCACTGCGAGAGAGTGATAGTCACCGGTAGCAATCTTTGCAATGTCGAATCCTTGAAGTGTACTTAACCAATGTGGTTGGTCGTATCTTCCAGGGGGCCGCGACGTCCATGTTAAGCCAGGGACACCAAGTTGTCCCTTCGAAGGGTAATCTTCAGAACCGGATGCTGCGGAGAAAACACGTCCTTTGGATGTAAGGAGAAGGCAATGCTCAAGACCGCTGCTAATATCCGTCACTTTTTCTCCCCAGACCATTTTATCCGGGTTCAAGGTTCGATACCCAATTGAAGATTTACTGCTCCAGAAAGGAATCCATGAGCTCTCTTGTTGCTTTGGTTCTAATGCCTGATCTGCTTGTGATGCTGAAATTGAGTATACCGTGCCTTTTGACGAAAGTGCTATGATCCGATCCTTCGATATAGATAACTTGACAAGGTCCTTTCCCTTCAATGTTGATGTAGGCCCTTTACAATCCGGTGAATATCCTGTACCCCATTGTAGCAGATCGCCGTTCTCAGTAATCGCTGCTGCAAAATTACGATCTAGCTTAATATCTCTAATAAGCTTCCCATCGAAATATGGTATTCGTCTTGGAGTTTTGACATTGATTTCCTCGGAGTCGGGTGCAACAACACGACCCGTATTTGATCCCCATGCATATACTCCTGGGTTCTCCCAGCTCCTCTTCACTTGCAAATGCTGTGAGCTTATTTGATCTCGATTCTCTTCTTTTGTGCTAGTATTCCTCCTCTTCTTCTCGAATTGTAGCTCGGCGGGTGTAGGGATCTCTTCTGCATGTAAAGCTCGTGGATAGCCGGTTGCATATAGACCTCCGGCGCATATTGTCAGTGATAACAATAAGGCAGCTTTCCGTGAGTTTGCAGCTCTACTGGCAACGGCAACTCTGGAGTCACTCGAGCCTCCAATGTATCGCCTCTGGAATGCAATTGAGTGATTGGTATGTCGATTTGCTCGTTGAACAATCGTGCCGCATTTTGGTATAACTTTACTTGACAACATCATTGATTTTCTATGCCTATATCAACATTTGAGAATCAGGCCTTGTACGATTACAACAATAACATTTATTAGACTCGCCACTACCCCTCATACCACAAAGTTCTCCTCAGCCTTGTCCGTTTCCATCCCATGACGAATTGACTTTCCTGGTCCAATTATAATCTGATTGAATGTCAGGCTAGTGGTCCGTGCCGAGCCCCATGAATAAACGGTGTTTCTAATACTCATGACACTTCAGCCTTACTCAACATCTTGGAACTTTGATGTAAGGTACCGGTAAAATGTACGAAGATGCGTGGTACAGTTTTGTGCCGGAAACAAGTACCAAAAAGGATCATGTCACCTCGCAGGCATCGCAACATCGTCGCAAAGAATCTCTTTTGCAGCAAACTAATGTAAGCCTCCTTAGTCCTCTGAAAAGTGCCTCAAGTTAATAGTGTACATAGGGTAACAACCAAATGTTGGACCAGAACTCTCCAATGCTAGGAATATATGAGGATGAACCTGTATCGAAAGACCCTCCAAAAGCTACATTGGCAAGAAGAGCAAAATCATATAGCGATTTCTACGAAGTAGCTATGGCATATATAAACAAGGAAACGAATGAGGGAAAGACACAAAACGAGCGCGATGCCGAAGGAGGGGAATCTAGGACTCCCCTTTTTGAGGAGCGGTACAGTGCGCTTGAGGATGAACTTGTGGATGGAAGCCTCGAGGAATACCAGTATGCCAAATATAAGCGACGAGCATCAAACCAATACGCTGACCATCTGAAGATTATATCTAGATCAATTAGTTCTATCCGAGCGTCATCTTGACACTCTTTTAAGTGATACCACAAGCGCATTGGATACACTTGCCAGTCTTTCCGAATCGTTCAAGAATGTCGAAGCACAAACCACAGCCTTTCAAGCCCAATGTGAAGATCTTTTGGAAGAACAAAAACGTATACGTGAATTGGCAGATGAAGTTGGAACGGATTTGCAATACTATGCTTATCTTGAACCTCTGACTCGACGCTTGAATGCTCCAGGTGCTGGAAGGCTGGTCAAAAACGGTGACTTCTTGGATATGTTAGAAAATCTTAACTCTTGTATTGAGTTTATGGATCAGCATGTAGGTCTTGTCTTTCTTATGTCCATATCTCGGAAACTTCGATACTCGGCGGTTGCTTCGTGTAGACTAGTAGAAACACCTTCTATGCATGTTACTTTTATTGAATACGTTGTTAAATCAATGAGCTGTTTCACAACAAATTACGAGGCTCATCTATCTTGAGATAGACCTTGGATTACTCGTGACTAATTATTTACAGCCAAACTATAAAGACTCGACTGTGTATAAGACTCGCTACACAACACTTTTAGACAAAGCACTCAACCTCGTCCAAATTGCTTTCTCAAATTCTCTGCGTGAAGTGTCAGATGACGCCTCAAAACAATTGAAAGCCAAAGAACAAACGGAGACAAATCAATACATTCTTCTCTATGGCAAATACGAATCTGCTAGGGAGAATTTAGGCCTTTCGATTGAACGACTTTTGACAACTGATGAATTTGCGTTTGGGAGAAGAGGAGATGTGGACCGAACACCATATATCCAACAATGGCATAACCTATATCAGCAATTGCTTGAGTCCTACATAAGATCCCGTGATCCTGTTGGACCTCTTGTTCTCAAAAATCTTCAAAATTTCTCAACTACTTCACCTCTCCCTGACAAAGAGTTTGAATTATTCGCTAGACGATCCGTGCAATATGTCTTTGATACATGTCAGAATGAGTTGAAATTGGCAGCAAAATTCTTTCAGAATGGACCTCTTATGGCCGATTATCCTCCACCACCCATTCCGTGGAACATGCCTAATACATACCTCGAGAAACTAGAGGAGAGTTGTCTGTCGCATGTGAAGATACTCCATGGCTTCCTAACCCCATATTTGAGCAATGGTGACTTGCATCGAGTTTGCGACTTGGTTACTTGGTTGGGTGACACTTTTATTTCAGCAGAGGCACATGAAGATGAGAGTCGCGATGGGCAAAGATTGGCTGCACAGGTCTTATTGGGCGTTCATCTCTGGCCATTAGCTGATCAGCTTTTCATCATGGAAGCAAAAAAACTTGAGCACTTCAAACCATCTCCGGAAGATCTCAGGATCATATCGCCAAATGCTCCAAAGTTATCCAATGAGAAAGCCATTCCAACTAGTGGCTTGCGAGTTGATACGACCCTTAAGCCGCTTGAAGAAAGCACATCTGTTGAGGCTGGTGTTTCAAATGCCTTTCCGACAGTCAAGACGGCGGTTAGTCTACTCGTTTTATACAACGAAAGCATGCATGAGAGAACAGTAAGTCACACTGCTTTTAGATATAAACGTGAATGCACTAACATTCGTATACAGCTCAAGAAAGGTGATGTTCTTTACGAAATTGTGCACCAAACTACCGAATCTCTGCAGAGAGCCGCAACAATCATAAAGCGAAGTTCGAATAACATAATGGATGCACAGCTATTCCTTATCAAAAATCTGATGCTCATCGAGAACCTATTCATGACTCACGAAATCCCAGACTCAATCCGTCAATCCGCCGAACTCGACTTCACTCCTCTTTGGGAGACGCTCAAGGAACTTCAATCCCGTCACCAAGTGTTTAATCCCCTTGCATATATCAGACCGATGATCAAAGGTCAACTACTTCCTGCTGTGGTTGATAAAGTACTAGATGCTAGGAAGGAATTAGAAAAGGTCTTGGTACAACAGATTACGGCTTTCACCAAGCACTGGCAAGCGAGGTTGTTGGAGAAGGATCCTAGGAAGAGAGATCAGGTGTTGAAGGCTGAGCAAGAATTGGATGTTTTGTTGGAGAGAGTTTTTGACGAGGAGACTACACGGGCCGCGCTGTTGAGAATGATTAGAGGGGGAGAGGAGTATTAGGAGGTGGGGTTGAGTGGCTCCTGTTATTGCTTGTTGATGTCTAGCATGAGATTGTAAATTGATACCAATCTCCAAGTTATCGTTTATTTTATCCAGGCCGCAGAGCAGTTTTTGGAATTTACATAATGCCATTCTTAATCACTCAAGATCAGTACAATCCCTTGTCTTTTACCTTTTATATTTTCTCATATCTCAAAAGCACATTATGTATCTTTTCACCGTCGAACAATGTTCCCCGTACACTCCTTGCCAAGCATGTCATACTCATCAGTATGACTTGTCAATATGTAACGTATCTCAAAGTCCACATATCTCTGACTCCTCCCTACATAATCTTCATTCACTTCTCAAAGAAAGAAAAACAGCATTACTTTGATAATACTAAACACATGTACTGTCTCTCTTTCCACTTCATCTTCTAACAGCTAGTACAGCGAAACAAAAAGCTGCTTAGCATCTCATAACCGAGTTCCACCCCTAATCAATCAAGCGCAGAGAATACCAAAGTTGACCTCTAGAACTGCATCAAGATCACACTACATAAGCTTCAGTACATCTGACTAGCTCTATAAGACCAACTAACAACCACATCAACAAGCCACACTATACCATTGCCGACTTAACGAGTGAAGATGGATATCTCCTCCATCGGGAGTAGATTAGTAGGACAGAAGGACATTTTTCCTCCATGAACTGTAATCATTCTCAACAAGCCTTCTGGATACTATCAGCTCTTTCCGTTCGTCCTACCCACTGGTAGATCCTCAAGGTTTGGATAGTCCATTGAATTTCATGTAAATCGTACATCAAGCTCTCAATCTGCTTTCTTGAAATATTTCTACATCAATTGCCGTCAATTTTGTGAGAAGGAGATACACCGTCATTCAGTTCTAAGCCAAATGCAAACCAGGCAAAAGAGTCTTGTACTCAGATACGATGTGCTAATACCTACACCTACATGAAGCGCTCACCGATAAAATCAAGATAGATAGTATAAATCTCATAAGAATGGTATATTATTTATTTATAAGTAATAACCCAACGGCTTTTGCCCAGCTCCAAGACTGTCTATCAAGCTCCTCTTGGGTATGTACAATTTGAGGATTTGAATTCCTCGCAATCAATTTCTTCCACGCCAAAATACGCCAGTCAAACCCAGAAACAATTAATCTGTTCGTACACCCTGATGTCACAAACGCCACTCTTTATCGTAGTGCCTTCGTTCTCCCAATTTTAAGGGTTTATGCTTCATATTTCTTGTTTCCCCGACTTTCTCTTACTCCGTACCATTCAACTGTTTGTAAAGTGCCTCTGTACCCTTTTGCAAGTCCTCTGTCCAAGCTTTAATATACTTAACTTGAGTGTCGAGTATAGCTTGTTTTCTAGCCTCTGCCTCATCTTTCGTACGCTTCGATCTTTCACTAGCTTCGAGTTCCAACTCTATTTCACGGATTTTGCGTTTCTTCTCAAGTTCCTCCTTACGTCGTACTTTTTTGGCTAGATACTTCAAACTATGTCCCAAAACTTGTGACTCTTCCGGAATTAGGTTGGAGTCAAGTGGAGGAGAAGTATAGAAAATGACCCTGCCAAATTCGTCCGTGTGAAATTGTGATCGAACGTCGGCTGGAATGGCAGAATTCGCTGCATCTGGAAGCGTGTATACTTCAATTGCACGTGGTGGATTGTATGCGTTCCCGTGTGAACCATGTGTATTTGAAGTAGAGCCACCAACACGTGGTGTACTGCTGCTATGATAATTTTGGTAGTTGGCTAATGGGTTGGAGTGATGATGGGTGGCGGTGGTGGGAGTGGAGGAAGTATGATGGTTGTATGAAGTTGTTGGCTGGTATGTCGGGGTCGGTGGTACAGCTTGCGTGGTTCCGTGCGAGCTATATGAATGAGCGAGCTGAGGAGGCGCTGGAGATGCAGATGGCCGAGCTTGTGCAAAGGATTGCGTATATGCCGGTTGAGCTGAATGCTGATTGATCATGGGCGAGGCAGTAGCGCTTGGAGTTGTACCACCCATTGATATATCTCCCTGTGAGTCAAATCGAGGTCTTTCGCTTGTAGGAGGTGGACGACTGCGCTCTGGATTTGGCACAGGAGATGCGGCAGGTGGGGTGGGTGATGGCGGTGGAGAGTCCTTTATAGTGTTAGAATATATAGATTAAGACATCTCATGAAAGAGAACTTACATTTTCGGCACGAGGTAGCTTATGCACAGCTCCGACGATAGGAGGTGCCCCATCTACGCCCTTAGTGGGTTTTGGAGTCTCGTCATGTTCTGTAGCATCATCGCGGAGCAGATGTTTGATCGGGCTCGGAAACTTTTTCATTGGCCTTGGAGTGTCAAAAAGATCCATTTCATAATCTTTCTCCCTCACTTCATCTGGTACACAGCTAGCCCAGGTCTTGATTTTGTTGAGCTTGAATACAGTTTCATTGTAACGCGCCTCACAAACATAGATCTCCTTATCCGCAGGAAAGTTACGGGGACGTCCTTTGAAGTATCTTGTAAAGAACATGACAAAGCAACGGTCAACAACATCATCAATCTTATGATCGATATAGCGACCAGTCTTAACAACCTCATTTTCGTAGAAATGCTTATCATAGCGATGAACTGTTTGCTCTGGTCGTAAGTACCAACAAGCATTAATCCAGTCCTGTCCTGCGATATCCCGCCAGGTTCGATAGATCTGCCCAACTACCGGCTTTGTAACATCGTTAAGGTTGGTTATGTGAATCCAGTCTCCAACCTTCCACATTTCGCCTTTGTAGAGGATCTCTTTGAGAGGTATTCGTCCATCCTCAGAAGCAAAGTCTTCATCCGGCCTGTTCTTCTCTTGTTCAGCTAGGGCTCTAGCTTCATTTTGAAGGAACACTGCATCGTTATAAACTTCACTGTCCTCCTCATTGAATGCCTTGGCATTCTCAAACATGAGTTCTATATCCTTCAGAACCTCGCCCACGGTTTCGTACTTCTTGCGCTTTGCCTGCCTCTTAATCAGATCCATTGCCATAGGGGTCTTGACTTCCTGGTAATATTCCGGCATGTTTGTTTTATCGGGCAATCTTTCGAATGGTGCAATTTTAAGCTCTCCCCTAGGGTTTTTGAATTTTCTCAATCCCTTCAGAATATTATTTATGCGGGCTTCCATGGGAGTATGCACCTTAGGTGGTCTACCGCGCTTTTTCTGCACTTCGGGCTCTTTTGTTGCTTCATCAGTACCACCATCGCGCCTATTCACGCTCGAACGTCGAATTTTGCGTTTGTATTTTCGTTTCACACCCTCATCATCGGTATCGTCTTCTTCGTCATCCTCTTCGTCGTCTTCGTCGTCTTCCTCCTGTTCTTCGTCTTCGGGGCCAGGTGGTGGTGAATCTTCAACGGGTGGGAGCTCTCCTAGATACGGCATCTCTGCTTCCTCCGCGGTGATAACCTTTCCATCTACCAATTGTTGCATTTCCTTTTTGAATAACTCTCTAAGCGCAATGGCATCATGATATGCAGCTGCAGACGGACGATTGTAAACTTGTGCATTATGAGATATGAGGGCAAAGTCGCGGACGAATTCTTTGAAGCTCTTGTACTGCTTCTTGAGGATTTTTTGCTATCAGTGTGTCAGTTAGATACACTCGCGCGCATCTGATAGGCAGAAATAACATACTCTAACGGTGCTGAATGCGGTAGGTTCCTTGATCACCTCAAAGTAATCTGGTAGGAACCTCTTGTTGAGCATGCGCTGAAAAAGCTGTGAGATATCGTAACCGCTAAATTCATATCAGCATCCCTAGAAAAACAAATGCGCAAACCACAATGGACATACTCTTCCGTGCGATATTCCGATAATTTGTGTACAACTTCATTCATAACAATATATCCATCCTTTGTGACACCGTCGACTGTCGCAAGGGAACCTACAGGTTCTGGCGCATTTCCCGTTGTTTTTATCTCTGGCTTTGCAGCTACTGCTTCTACTTCTGGTTCTGGTTGGGGTTCGGGTTGGGGTTCGGGTTCAGGCTCTGCTTCTGGCGCATCGGTCATTTCAACATCAATGGAAGTCTTAGGTTCTTCTGTCTTGACGCTTGATTCATCTTGAATCGGGGCCGCTACAGGCGAATCCATCCTTTTTATTGAATCTAGCAACTATATCGCGGGGTTGTGTTGCTAAGGATTTGGTCGCTTTTTGAGGGAGCTCGAGTAATCGCGTTGGAGCGCGATCCCCACAAGCAACGGAAACTGGACTGGTCGGGCAAAAGATGTGACCACGTGATCACTGGATTATTCAAGCCGAAGTGAACAGCGAACACAGCTGGAAGGGGTGGACATCATTCACCTATTTTGCCACAACATTCTTCTCCAAACTAAATACGGTTCTAAAGGATTCTAGACGATAATTATTAATTAATATATAAGATTCACGGGTTTGCGACAATATTAAATTGTTATCGTTCATACATATTTCAAGGTATTGTTGTCCATATAAACCACATACCGAATCGCTTTCGACCACACCCACGTGCCAATACCAACCCAGATATCAAAGATGCCGCGAATGCGAGTTCGAGGACCCGAAGGGACATCCACCATAACTCTTCCCGACGATGCCAAAATCAGTGATCTCATATCCGAAATCACCTTGAAGACATCTCTCACAAATTTCGATATTAAATATGGTTATCCGCCAAAACCGCTTCTCCTTTCTCAAAGCGAGCCTTCATTACCTCTGAGCAAGTTGGACATCAAGTTAAATGGCGAACAACTTACAATTAGCTCAAGAGAGGAACGTAAATCTGTGGCATCACCAAAATCGACTTCACCTTCTAATTCTAAAACCTCATCTATCCCGCCTCAAGTAAAAGATAGACAAACAGCAGAGGCGAAGTCATTTTCTTTCTCTGGTATGCATGGTGATGCGAAAAATGCATCGAATTCTGCAGCTCCCGTGTCACTTTCGCGTAAGAGAGGTATCGCTGGAGATGTACCTGAGATTCCAATTCCGGAACTTCAGGCTACACTTGGTTAGTCTTTCATCCAAAGATTATTGTTCACTCCACTAACATCTTCCAGTCCTCCGTGTCATGCCAGACGATAACTCATGTCTTTTCCGAGCTTTTGGAACGGCAGTTCTTCCTGGTGATGACCTTTCCATGCATGAGCTGCGATCCGTCGTAGCTTCTACCATTCAAGGCAACCCCGAACTTTATAGTAAAGTCGTATTAGAACAAGAACCCGATGACTACTGTCGCTGGATTCAAACCTCTGATGCTTGGGGTGGAGCTATCGAGATGGGTATTTTGGCCGAGGCCTTTGGTATAGAAGTTGTTTGTGTCGATGTTCAAGTATGCCATCCCCTTTTCAATTATAATTGACATTTCCATTCCCCACGAGAACCCCAATCCATTATGACCTTCAACCCTAATCCCACAAACTAACAATGCCCAGTCCCTCTCCATCCACAAATTCCACGAATCTGGCTCCAACAATAGATGTGTTCTGGTCTATTCTGGAATCCATTATGACATGCTAGCCCTTTCGCCCTTCTCCTCAACTCCCGAAAATGACGTTCGAGTTTTCGATAAGTCCGACGATACCATAATTGCTAAAGCAGTAGAACTATGCTCAAAATTGAGAGAAAAGCATTATTATACTGATACAGGGGGAATGGCTATCAAGTGTAAAGATTGTGGCGTGATTATTCATGGGGAAGCACAAGCGGCAGCTCATGCGCAGCAGTTGGGCCATTACAACATGGCTGAGGTTGATACTTGAACTTGTGGTTATGGTTATGTTTATGATTATGAAATGGTCCGGGTTTGAAGAGAGCGAATGATAAACGAAATACACAGATGGATTTATTGAGCTCGTACAACTCATAAATATCGGCTGCCGCAAAGATAATCGGCTAGCTACTCATCAACTAAATGTCCACACCAGGGGGGCATTCAAAATGAATTGAGCTAGATCTCGATGGATAGGATATTTATAGAGGTCGGAAACACGTTGGATTTGATGATGGAAAATATGGTAGACACATAACCTACCTACCTATCTATTATACACCCAATCCCGCTCTTGCTAAGCAGAGCTCATGCCAATGACTATTACACCCTCACTACACTACACTTCACATCATCGAGTTTCATATAGCATCTCCTCACCACTGTAACATCGCAGTGATAGAAACGCTGATAAAAAATAAACCATCAAAACATACCACTCTATAAATACTCCACCTTCGGACAAGTCTCTCCCACCCCCAACTTTCAAGATGTGCCTAAGTTCGAGAAGAGGCAGGACAAGACAAGACTCAATAATGAATCCAGTACATAGTTGTTTCAGGGAGAAGGAATTGAAGGACAAAGAACGAGATCATGGAATAGAATAGATAGTTCTACAACGCTCGGGGTTTGACTTTGTCAAATTTTAGAGCCTTGGAGGTAGTAGGTAAGATTTTTTTTTTTTTTTCTTGTTTCCTCGAGCAACGTTCTGTATCTGGCTCATTATTTACGTACTTGAAATGAAAGGAGATAGGCACTTGGAGGCATTGGTAAATTCTGATGTACAAGGAATCTTTACGTAGATGTCTATATCTCGTTCATCGATATAATGCTAATGCTATACCATGCCATACCATGCCATACCATGCTCGCTCTGCTGAAAATATCTCATATAAAGGGACATGTAGTATGACTCTCATCATCCCATGAATTCATCAAGATACTAAATGCACCAACTATTCTCATTCCTTCAGCGATCTAAGAAATAGCTCTCATAGTCATTTCCACCACGGCGAAAGTACCCGCACTAACCGGCATGGCCCTCAACAATGTAGGGAAAATGCCTTTCCAGAATCCTCTTGCACCTTCTGCTCTCCACGTCTTTGCAAAACAGTCTCTCATACCGTTGTATTTCATCTCCTTCCCGAAGCCATCACTCTGCATTTTGCTCTTCACAACATCAAACGGATAACTAGCCAACCATAAAGCTTCTCCGGCTAGACCACCATAGAAAGCAATTTTCCAGCTCGGAATATCTTTGCGTTCGATTTTGTTGCGCGCGGCGTCGCTATTCATCATGTATTCGAAAGAAAGGAACCACACACCATAAGCCTGCGCTTCTCGGATAATGGTAACGGCCTCACCGCGATAGAGACCCTTGAGAACGCCTTCATGGGCCGACAGTTTCCGAACACAATCCACGGGACCATTGTAGAGTTTTCCTGCACCGTGAGGCTGCGTTTGTAATCTGATTCTCACGTGCTCAATGGGACCCGAGATACCAGAGTTGGCGATACCGGCAAAGGCACCTGCCGCATAGTATTGTGCATAGGAAAGACCTGGGGAAAGAGGGCTGCGGGAAGTGTTGTAGTTTTCCAGGTAACGACGGGCTTGGTGGAAAGCTCCAAATTGGACGGAAACACAGGCTCCAATACCGATCAAAGGCGTGAGGGTACCTTTGTAGAAGGCGAGAGCACCTTCATTGCGGTAGATGGTTTGGGCAGCTTCAAGAGCATTTGCATACTGTGTAGTGGTTTGGAGACGAACTTTGACTATATCAAAGGGTTGACCTGGGGAAGAGGTTAGATTATTTTCTTGTGAAGTGCTCGTTATGTTGTTTCCATCTTAGAACAAGTATGAAAGAAGATCCAGATTTGACCTTAAAACCTATGGAATATCCGCCAAAAGGCATATGCAAATCCACAAACCATTGCCATCACTCGAAGACAATTTCACTTCTCGACATATCTCGTTACCTCCACGTGATTATCCCAACCAACCCCAAAACATCCCCCAAAACACCGCAGTATGAAAACAACATCTTACTTACCCAATAGAACCTGAGCTACACCCCCAGCAGCCCCGGCAAACAAGTCCTTCAAGGTTCTCTTGAAGCCCCCCTCTTCCAGTTCCGCTGCTACGTCCGCCATTTTGTTTAATCTGTTCCTTTCCCCGCAATGCCAGGCACGTTCCCTGACACCTTTTCAACTTCTGCTTCTCCAATTGATAATTAAATCAATTTGTAAATTGAGGATCGGATAGAGAGGATAAAATCTAGTCAGAGATCTAAATCATAAATCGGATTGGAAAGCAAGTGAAATTTCGAAAGAATCGTTGGCCTTTTGAAGTCATCTGTTATCTACAAAGAAAAACACACCAATTCGCGCTTGTCATCGGAGTCGTAAGCTAGCCAGTGATGATGTGCTTTTCGCTTAGATAACTTTGATTAGGTGTATACATGCCTAGATATTGAGGCCTTTGGGTGCAGATTTCAATATGAAGGACATTTAAAATCGCCTTGAATAGGGGCTTGTACATGTTTGGTGATGAGCACACTTTGAGAAATTATATATCACTCTCAAATTTACAATAGGAAGTTGCTTTCCTCACAATCTCAAATATCTCTTCAGTCTATCATTTAATATACAAATTAAAATCTTCAATTGACGCTGTGAGGTGTCAAAAGAAGAGGAACCAAATGACGCCTAGGCAACATGAAATGACTATCAAGGAATGAATGACATATTACTACCCGATCAATTTTCGAATGAAGATACACCTTCATCCAGACAGCCAGAAATCCACCGCCGAAAAATGCTAATGATATCATCTACAACATGATCATACCCGCACCTGCCATTCCAGCAACCACGAGATAGGCACCCAATTGCAACAATCCCAAGTCGAAACGTGGGACGATAGTAGCACCGGCAGCACTCTTCTTAGTAGAGGTGGATGTACCAGATGAGCTGCTTGAAGATCCAGTACCAGTTGGTGCGCTGGTAACAGTTCCAGTTCCTGCGGTTCCGGCTTGGCTGATGAGACTTGAGCAGGTTGAACTCTTGGCGCCAGTTTGAGTCTTAGCACTGCCGCTGAAGTCACAGGCAGTAGCGACTTTGCCTTGGTTTTGGTAGTATTGGTCAAATACGAAAGACAATTGTTGAGCGCTTGTGCACATGGAGTAGGCACCGTAAACTCCAGTGGTAGCATTCTTTGAAATGCCATCACAGGCAGCGCTGTCCAAACCACAGACATAGTCGAAGAGATCGGCACTGGAGTTACCGGAGATACCGCTGTTGGCGACACAGGACAAAGACTTAACCATACATTCGCAAAGCTCGGCGTTTGCGATAGGAGGAAGGTCGCTGGAAGCAGCCCAAGCGGTACCGGTTGCTGGGCATGCTTGTGCTACTGTGTTGGTAACAGTGTAGGAGGCAGAGTTGGTGAAGCTAGGAGTGGCAGAGGCCAATTGCTTGGACAGAGCAGTGAAATCAGCGAGCTTGCTAACAGAGCTTCCTGAAACCGAAACGAGACCTAAAGATTTGTCAGCTTGTGCTTCGAAAAAGTTTGCAAGTCATATCTTACCATAGTCATTTGCCTCTTGGAAGTACATGTAGACGATTCCACCAGACCAGACTTCAGTCATCTTGTCGCCGTAAATTGCCCCGACCTCAGTAAATTCACGGGGTTGGACAGTGTTGCAACCGTACTCGGCAAAGAATGCAGGGACGGAGTAGTTGGCAAATTCGAGAGTTCTTTGATCATATCCGGACTCAGTGTAGGAAGAGTCACCGCACCACGAGTAGATGTTGTAACCCCAGAAATCGATGGCAGAATCAGCATCACCACAGTTGAAGTAATGAGCCAAATCAATTCGAATGTTGGCATCATCGTTGGTAGCATAACCAACACCGATAGTGCGGTAGCCCTTAGTCTTGATGTAAGCCTTCATGTCACGGACGGCAGCTTTAACGAAAGCACTGGCGTTAGTGTTGTTGACATCGTTGGAAACTTCGTTACCGGCAAAGAAACCGAGGACGTTTGTGTAGTTGGCCATGGCACTGAAATTTGAATGTTAGCACACGGAGAACGTGATGATGAATTGATAATCCTCCTCCTTCATAATGCAAGTGAAAGGCCAGAGATATTGATATGACGATGGGTAACAAGTACAAGATATACATACTCAACAACGCCGGCATAGGTGGCGAAGAGATCGGTGTTCCATTCTGGGTCGCTTCGATCGATAGAGGATGAGGGGTTAGACAAATCTTGGATAAGATAGATTCCGGCATCGTTAAGCAATCCCATGCAGACGGAGTGGTCTAACGAGGAGTTGATCGCGTAGACACGGATGACATTGGTGCCAAGCTCTTGAAGGAGAGGAATGTCACGCTTGCAACCAGCTTCATCTGCAAGGGGATCGGTAAAAGTAGCGTCGGAAGTAGTGTTGGAATTAACGTCTTGTTGGTATGCTACACCACGAATGAAGAATTCGGTACCGTTCTCGTAGAAGAAGTGGGAGCCCTGATATATGAATTAGCATTTAAAGTGACCTCCAACAACGTCGGATGGACCGATCCATGACATACCTTAATGACGATAGAAGGGAGATCAGCAGCGGCAGCAGACGATGCGAAAAAAGCACCGGTCAATGCCGCAGCAGCTGCTGAAGCAAAGCCAAAGGTCTTCATGATGCTAATTGAAATACCAATGTGTGTATGTTATAATGTTGGTTTTGTTGACGATAGATAGACGTGAGAAGTTGCTTTTGATGATGAGATGAAAGTTCAAGAATCCAAGCCCAATCAGATTGCTAGCTAAAGATATTTCCGTCTCAGGTGAGTTTTGAAATAGGGAAGAACGAGTGTGTTGGTGATGTAATCTCTCCTTCTCTAACAACGACTTGCACGGCAGATGTCCTAGTTAAAAAGAAAAAAGAAATATATGTTGTGTTTTAACGAATGACTGTCTTCCTAACTAGAGTGAGTTGGAGATGGGATTGTTGGAGAAATGGAAAAACAGCAAATGAATGTCGAGAAGTAACGGAAGTGGAATGATTAACACAGTCCCATTAAGAGTGGCAAGGAGATTTGGATTGGAAGAATAATTTAGGGGATACGGGAGAATGATTCAATGGTATAAATTCGGAGTGGAGATGGGTACGAAAGTACTTTGGTACTTTGGTAGAGAGAGTCGTGCTAAAGAAAGAAATGTTCCTGGACTAGAGATTAGATTGGGTCTGTTGGTCCAAATCCTCTTTTATCCCGATTGCCTAGCTGGGAAATTCAGGAAACTTTCATGTGAGAAAAATCTGCTTAAATCTACTTAAATCTACTTGTGGGAAAGAGAAGCATGGGAAGGAGCGTGCCGGTAGTACGGCAAGAGGGGAAGGAACCAATCAAATGGACGGATTCCATTGGATTAGATTCTTGGCTATTCGTAAGGTTCATACGTAGTACATGCCTCTGAAGCACCTAGGATGCTAGGTAGGTAGGTATTCTTGACCCTGTTGTTGGATTGCTGAATCGTGACTGGATGGATGGATGGATGGATGGATGGCTGGATGGATGATGAATGGATGGATGATGAATGAATGGATGAATGAATACCTAAATAAATGTACCGAGTACACAAAGGGAGTATGACATGACATGAATCACCACACTGCCACCAGCACTCCATCAACTTGATCAATCCTACACGTCGCTCAAAACCACCTCACAGACAACTCTGGCGGTCATGGATACAGTGTGTGGCACCGTGCGTTACGGATTGCTCACAAACCCACCTGGTACTTCTCTCGATGATTACAGCGTTATTTCTGGACACTTGCTAGGGGCCTCTCAAATAATCTGAACGTACTCCGTAAAGCTTAAACACGTCCATGGTTTGGTCTGGGATATTGGTTGATCCTAATTTGAATGCTTCTCGAAGCACTGCCCCAACTCAAAGATTAAGGAGTAATCATTGGACTGATAACTCGGACGGGTTGGTATGCATTGAGAAGTGCGAATGCGAGAAATCGAGACATGTAGTTTTGGAATTGTGTGGATTTGGAGAATCAATCATCTCATCAAAAGGGTATATATGATAGTATCCAGAAGGCACACCAATTAGATGAAATTGAAAGTAGACATTTGTTTCGGCTTTGCTGAGCATTCATTCGATTTTCCCTCACAGAAGATTGTTGTCAAGACCTCCCTACCTACATAGGCAGTCGAGTATAAAATATCCATCAATCCTCAAGATCTCGAATACGATACAATCTCTTGCATTCTATCCTCTATTGATCGGGAAGGCTTGACCAACAGCTTCAGTCTGAATTTGGCATCACTGGTAGGCTGAGCATACTAGGTACATAAAACAACATCTTTTCAGACGACGCTGATACAGGATTATCTCTCATTCGCATTCCCTCAAATCAGCCGCCTTGACAAAGTCGTAGTAAGCTCGTATTAACGTAAGTGAATGTTGAGCCATGTCACTTCTCCCCTCCAATTGTTGTCGTACAGCAAGGCGAATGTTACACTCCCGTATCACGTTCGAAACATAACGTTCCCGAGGACCTCGAGGATTTTCATGTCAATCGATTGCCGATATACAGTCTTTCATCACATGCTGTCATCGAGATAGTACTTCAATGGAAAATCATACAGAGTGCCCAATATCTACTGGCAGCAAAAGCCCCACGATACTTTCACTTGTCATCTAAACGGCTGTCTCTTCAAAACGCGTCTTGGTGCACCACCTTCAACTTCAGAGACATGCTGGATCATGTACGGGCAGAAATGTTTGATGGTGATGGGAAATAGGGAGATGGTTGGTTATATACACTTATTGAAAGGTTATTTGCTCTTAGTTTTGGCTCTGCAGTAGTTCCCCATCAACATTCTCTGATATCAGTTCAACCTTACCAATCAATATCGTATTTATCCTGTCGTATATTAAGCTTCGGACATTATTATTACAGTCGCCACCCAACTGGAACATAGTTTGATCTATTTTAGGAGACTAAAAGAGGCACGAATCAGGATAAACTAGCCCGATCAGTTTTTCACAACCCGTCTCTATTGTTGATCGGATGGGAAGCCTTCGGAACCCCGGGAGTCTAGCATAGAAAAGAATGAACGATAAGTAGTGGCCGAGTAGGTAGTTCGTTGTTAAGTAGTCCAGGCTAGAAGAAATTTCAAGCACTTCTAACTTCTGAGTGGGTGGGTTGTCGACGCGCTTCGATGATGGATTTCAGATTCCATAGGAGCGGGCAATATCACTCTTCCATCTCTACGTGATTCAACGGAATAGCTGCTGCTTTTCGAGGAAATTAACAGACCCGGTGCAATCTCCAGAGTACTGCTCTACTATCGAATTTTCAAACATTTGAAGCAGCACTTTATATAATACAATTTTTAGGGGAGTAAATATCGATTCCGACTCCGACCCCCTGTCGATAGCTCGAGATCTTTCCGAATAAGAGTGGTCGTATACCCTGGTCGATTTGCAAAGTATCATTCATGCATGCACCGCCTTTGTTCCAACTTGACTGTGGCACATACCCACTCAACGCATCCACTTACCACCGATCAGTTGCCGTTTTATCCCCCTTTTCATCTCCTCTGGACCGTTTGGAAGAGGGATCGTCTCGTTCCACTCGGGATATGACTGAGTGTCGTCAATGGCTGCACCACATCAAAGGATTATCAATAATATCTATGCGTGTATTTGGTATGAATTTGGGTACCTGTGAGACGGCCTGACGGCCAATCCGATGAGGAGACAATAGTAGGATCGTAGATGTAAATATGATGATCTGGAATAGAAGTGAAGCTCTCAACAGTAGGAATAAATAGATTGATGCAGATAAGAAACCATTATGGATACGTCCCTTTCGGTTAAGGCTCATAAGCAGCAGGGGCAAGAGAGGAGACGATGATGCTGTGCCATGATAATCCATGGTCTTTTCTTTTGAAAAGCAATTAGAAATCGATGGCGATAATGACATACAATAGAATAATACCATGAGGCATTAAGATATCGATAACATCTGTGGATTCGAGAGAAGACAAGCTTTTGACAACGAATAGACTTGGGGAAGAGCAAGACGCATCAAGTCAATGGCTTAGTCGAATTGAATTGAATTGAATTGAATTGAATTGAATTGAATTGAAAAGAAAAGAAAAGGAAAGGAAAATTGGAAAACACCTTCCCATACCGGTACTTATTTTATCGACCTTTTATTGCCTATATATATATCTATCTACACATGGTGCGAGTAGCTCGAGCGTAGGTAGATGCTTAGCAATGAGCGAAGCTTTCAGCTGGCTGTACGGAGTATGATGTATCTATCGGTAGGTATGGGTCAAGACTCAACTGATGCGCAAGCTTGTTGCGTGCCCCTGAGTTAGCAAAGTGGTTAACACGATGATGATAATGATAATGATCATGATTCTGTAATAAATGAATGAATTTAATGAAAAGGGCATGGAGCTGGCAATCGGAAGACAAAAGCAGCAAGGTGAAAATCCTATCGGCCCCTGGCGACTAGGCATGATCCGGACTCTAGAACTTTCCCCTCCCAATCAAAATCAATTGTCAGCATTATCTGTCTCCTGAATCTCTCGAGATACCAATCCTGAGTCCTCGGTAGGTAACAGACGAGTCAATCCAACTTATTAAACTGAACCATTTCAAAGCTTCCCAGTTCCATTTATTTGGCCCCCTAGTGCATCCATCTACCTAGAATGTCTAAATTTATTCTAGACGTTCGCTACTGACTACCTCGAGATTATTGTCCACATGCGTACCATCTTAACTTCATGGGGAAGTATTCTTCTCTCCCTTTCATTGCCCAAGATTGTCACCACAATGCTGATATTTGAATCATCTGAACCAATGGAAAGCGTGAGGCCACCACCAACCATAGGAACCAGCCTCTTTTATTTTGGGTCGATATCACTTGTCTCTTGACTGCTCGCCCCCCAAGCTAGATATTTCTGCTGGTGCACTACAGTCCGTACCAGACTACCAGATTGACTACCAGACTAACTACCAGACTACCAGACTACCATACCGGACCAGACTCCAGCCAGTATCTATTTGGCTATTTTGTAGATCCACCCAATTCATATCTTACTGACGAAAACAACCTTCCCCCCCCCCCCCCGCTCTCTCCCATCTCAAGAAATAAATAACTGTCACCCTGTTTTTAGTGCCAAAATTGATTTTCTCAATGAACCGTAGACCGAATTTCCTTATTATTAAGTTAATTACCTAGTAGTACTCTAAAAATCCCTCTTTGCTCCTCTTTCACAACTTTTTCACTCTCTTCCTCTCCCTAATCTCTCATTCTTGGGAAAGATCACACACACCTCGACAACTATACCAACATCTTTGGAATAGACCCTCGGGAGAAAGGAAGGAAATTCTTTTTTCTCAGTGTGCTTCTCTCTCTCTCTCTCGATTCTTGTTTATTACTTTGTTCGTAAACTGGATATTGTAAATCTTTAAACACTCGTTCAGCGCTATTTTTCCTGTTTCGTTCCATTTAGACGCGACAGTATCAAAAGTTTACTAGGTAGTTCGAATTCGTAGGAAGGACAACAAGCCGCCCTAACGAAAATCAACAAGACCAAAGCAGCAACGAATCAACCAAAAATAAAGGGGGAGAAAACAGAAGGGAAATCTCACACCATTTGCTTCCTTCTCCAAATCATCAACATATCTTTTTTTTTAATTGAATAGTCACTCTTTACAACTCATTCGACATTCTCTCGAAAAAGTAAACTTTATTTTTCGAAAGGAGGTCAAGTCCTTGTATCCTCCATTTTATTCAATTCATCCTATCGAAAGATTCACTGTTAAGACGAGCAAAATCGGTCTTATTTAATTTACATCACGACCATCATTTTTTGACCGCATCTCAAGCATTTTGCTCAGCCCATTTTCAATTCAAGGCCTGCAACGGAATCATTCACTCTTCCAATGTGCCTTTAATTTGTGAGTATCAATTTCATTCTTCGTTTCATTCACCTTTCCAATCCGCCACGAAGGCCGGGGCAAAGGAACGGTACTTTTACGCGCCAGTTCACCTCGGAAGACCTTTGGAGATCTCAATGTTAACATTCCATCCATCAGTAAATAATTTAACACGCAATCATGTCGGGACACCCACAACAAGGTGCTCAATACGACGAGGGCTACGGTCATCAGCCCGGTAATACCGAATCTTATTATCAGGACGAACACGGAGGTCAACAATATTACGACAATAATGCTGGCTACGAGCAAGGTCATGGAGGCCATCAGCAGCAGCAAGGTGGTGAAGGGTACTATGATGAATCGTGAGTGGGCTTGGGTGACTTTTTTTTTTCATAGATCGGAAGCTAACTACACTTTACAGAGGCTACTACAATGCTGATGCCAACAATCCATATCACCAAGAGGGAGGATATTACGAAGGTGGCGATCAACACCAAGGCCAATATCAAGATGAATTCTACAACGACCAGTACTACGAGCAGGGTGGTGCAGCAGCTGGCGAAGCACCTCAAGGCAAGCGTCGGGGCGATTCAGAAGAGGATTCTGAGACTTTCAGCGACTTTACCATGAGATCAGACATGGCTCGAGCCACCGACATGGACTACTATGGCCGCGGCGATGAGAGATACAACAGCTACAACGAGAGCCAAATGGGTGGTCGTGGTTACAGACCGCCATCTTCGCAGGTTTCATATGGTGGCAACAGATCGTCCGGAGCATCAACGCCAAATTACGGAATGGACTTCAACAATGTCCTTCCAGCTGGACAACGATCCAAGGAGCCATATCCCGCCTGGACCTCAGACGCTCAAATTCCTTTATCGAAGGAAGAGATCGAAGATATCTTCCTGGATTTGACCGCCAAGTTTGGATTCCAACGTGACAGCATGAGGAATGTGTACGATCATTTGATGATTCTGCTCGATTCGAGAGCTTCGCGTATGACTCCAAATCAAGCTCTCTTGTCCCTCCATGCAGATTACATTGGTGGTGACAATGCCAATTACCGAAAATGGTATTTTGCCGCTCATCTCGATCTTGATGATGCTGTAGGATTTGCCAACATGAAACTTGGCAAAGGAGATCGTCGTACTCGTAAAGCCCGCAAAGCAGCCAAGGCGGCAGCACCAGATCCTCAAAACGAAGCCCAGACCCTGGAGCAGATGGAGGGCGATAACAGTCTCGAAGCTGCTGAGTACAGGTGGAAGACCCGCATGAACCGCATGTCTCAACATGACCGAGTGCGTCAATTGGCCCTCTACCTCCTCTGTTGGGGTGAAGCCAACCAAGTCCGATTCATGCCCGAACTTCTCTGCTTCATTTTCAAATGTGCTGATGACTACCTGAACTCGCCTGCTTGCCAAAACTTGGTTGAGCCGGTAGAGGAATTCACATATCTCAACCATATCATAACGCCTCTGTACCAATACTGCAGAGATCAGGGTTACGAAGTTCAAGATGGTAAATATGTTCGCCGAGAACGTGATCACAACGAAATTATCGGATACGATGACTGCAATCAACTGTTCTGGTATCCTGAAGGTATTGAGAGAATTGTTATGGAAGACAAGTCTCGCCTAGTGGATCTCTCTCCCGCGGAACGTTATCTCAAGCTCAAGGATGTCAACTGGAACAAGGTCTTCTTCAAAACGTATCGCGAAACCCGTTCCTGGTTCCACATGTTGGTCAACTTCAATCGTATCTGGGTTATTCACATCAGTGCATTCTGGTTCTTCACTGCTAAGAACTCCCCCACCCTTTTGGAAAAGAATTACAAGCAACAAGAGAACAATCAACCTCCAGCCTCTGCACAATGGTCTGCAGTCGCTTTGGGTGGTGCCGTTGCAAGTCTTATCATGGTTGTTGCTACAATTTGCGAATGGTCCTACGTTCCTCGTCGTTGGGCAGGTGCTCAACATTTGACTAAGAAGCTGTTGTTCCTCCTCGCTGTTCTTGCTCTCAATGTCGCTCCCAGTGTCTATATCTTCATCATCCCCAACACACAAAAGACGAAGATTGCTTTGATCCTGGGTATTGTCCAATTCTTCATCGCTCTGATCACCTACTTCTTCTTCTCGATAATGCCGATGGGAGGATTGTTTGGTAGTTACTTGACCAGAAACTCTCGACAATACGTTGCCAGTCAAACCTTCACTGCGAGTTATCCTCGCCTGACGGGCAACGACATGTGGATGTCTTACGGTCTTTGGATCACGGTCTTCGGAGCCAAACTTGCTGAATCTTACGTCTTTTTGACTCTGTCCTTCCGTGATCCTATCAGATACTTGGCTAGTATGGAAATTTCCTACTGTGCTGGTGATGCTATTATTGGCGACGTTCTCTGCAAATTGCAGCCCAAGATTCTCCTTGGTATCATGTTCGTTACTGATCTTACGTTGTTCTTCTTGGATACTTTCATGTGGTACATTATCATGAACACTATCTACTCAGTGGCTCGATCCTTCTACCTCGGTGTCTCTATCTGGACACCATGGAGAAATATCTTCTCGCGTCTTCCAAAGCGTATCTACTCTAAGGTTCTCGCCACCACTGACATGGAGATCAAGTACAAGCCAAAGGTTCTTATCTCTCAGATTTGGAACGCCATCGTTATCTCCATGTACAGAGAGCATCTCCTTGCTATCGACCACGTTCAAAAGCTTCTCTACCATCAAGTTCCATCTGAACAAGAAGGCAAGAGAACTCTTCGAGCCCCAACTTTCTTCGTTTCACAAGAAGATCATTCTTTCAAAACGGAATTCTTCCCCAGTCAGAGTGAAGCCGAGCGTCGTATCTCTTTCTTCGCCCAATCTTTGTCAACTCCTATCCCAGAACCACTCCCAGTCGATAACATGCCAACCTTCACTGTTATGATTCCTCATTACGGAGAGAAGATCTTGTTCTCACTGCGTGAAATTATTCGTGAAGACGAGCCATACTCCCGTGTTACTATGCTTGAGTACCTGAAGCAATTGCACCCTCACGAGTGGGACTGCTTCGTTAAGGATACTAAGATTCTTGCCGACGAGACCTCTCAATTCAATGGCGATTATGACAAGGATGAAAAGAACACTGCCAAGAGCAAGATCGACGATCTTCCGTTCTACTGCATCGGTTTCAAATCGGCCGCTCCTGAGTACACTCTCCGCACACGTATCTGGGCCTCTTTGAGAGCACAAACTCTTTACCGTACAATCTCTGGTTTCATGAACTATAGTCGTGCTATCAAACTTCTCTACCGTGTGGAGAACCCTGAAGTTGTTCAAATGTTCGGTGGTAACTCTGACAAGCTCGAGCGCGAACTTGAACGTATGGCCCGCCGCAAGTTCAAGCTTTGTGTTTCTATGCAACGTTACGCCAAATTCAAGAAAGAGGAGATGGAAAACACCGAATTTCTTCTTCGTGCTTACCCTGATCTTCAAATCGCTTACTTGGATGAAGAAGCTCCTCTTGCCGAAGGTGAAGAGCCACGTCTCTACTCCGCTCTCATTGATGGTCACTCTGAAATCATGGAAAATGGAATGCGCAGACCCAAGTTCCGCATTCAACTTTCTGGTAACCCAATTTTGGGTGATGGAAAATCCGATAACCAAAACCATGCCATTATCTTCTACCGTGGTGAGTACATTCAACTCATTGATGCCAATCAGGACAACTATTTGGAAGAGTGCTTGAAAATTCGTAGCGTTTTGGCCGAGTTTGAGGAAATGACAACCGAAAACGTCTCTCCCTACACTCCTGGTGTTTCCAATCCTAAGGTCGCCCCTGTTGCTATTCTCGGTGCTCGTGAATATATTTTCTCTGAGAACATTGGTATTTTGGGAGATATCGCTGCCGGAAAGGAACAAACATTCGGTACACTCTTCGCACGTACTCTTGCTACCATCGGTGGTAAGCTCCATTACGGACATCCTGATTTCTTGAACGGTATTTTCATGACTACCAGAGGTGGTGTTTCCAAAGCTCAGAAAGGTCTACATCTCAACGAGGATATTTACGCTGGTATGACTGCACTTCTTCGTGGAGGTCGCATCAAGCATTGCGAGTACTATCAATGCGGTAAAGGTCGTGATCTTGGTTTTGGCTCGATTCTTAACTTCACTACAAAGATTGGAACTGGTATGGGTGAACAAATGTTGTCAAGAGAGTACTATTACCTCGGTACCCAACTGCCCATCGATCGTTTCTTGTCCTTTTACTACGCCCATCCTGGTTTCCATTTGAACAACATGTTTATTATGTTGTCTGTCAATCTGTTCATGATCTGCTTAATCAATTTGGGAGCCCTCAAGAACCAGGTCATTGAGTGTAATTACAACGTCAACGTCCCCATCACCGATGCGCTCTTTCCAACCGGTTGTGCAAACATCATCCCTATTACCAACTGGGTCTATCGTTGCGTTATCTCTATTTTCATTGTGTTCTTCATTTCCTTCGTGCCCTTGACGGTTCAGGAATTGACAGAACGTGGTTTCTGGCGTGCGGCTACTCGTCTCGGAAAGCAATTCTGCTCTTTGTCACCTTTCTTCGAAGTTTTCGTCTGTCAAATCTATGCCAACGCTGTCCAACAAGATCTTTCTTTCGGTGGTGCCAGGTATATCGGAACTGGTCGTGGTTTCGCTACTGCTCGTATCCCCTTTGGTATTCTCTTCTCTCGATTTGCCGGTCCTTCGATTTATCTCGGAGCTAGATTACTGATGATGTTGTTGTTCGCAACCATCACCGTCTGGCAAGCTGCGTTGGTCTACTTCTGGGTTACTCTCCTTGCTTTGTGTATTTCACCATTCTTGTACAATCCTCATCAATTTGCCTGGAACGATTTCTTCATTGATTACAGAGACTATTTGAGATGGTTGTCTCGCGGAAACTCTCGTTCCCATGCATCAAGTTGGATTGCTTTCTGTCGTCTCTCGCGTACCAGAATCACAGGTTACAAACGCAAGATTCTCGGAGACCCATCGGCCAAGATGTCTGGGGATACCGCTCGTGCCACGTTCTCCAACCTTTTCTTCGGTGAAATTGTTGGACCGCTCATGATTGTCGCTCTCACCTTGATTCCATATCTCTTCATCAACGCTCAAACAGGTGTCATCCCAGCGAACAACGATGGCACCACGACCAAAGCCACAGCCGCCTTGATCCGTGTGGCCATTGTAGCCGGTGCCCCTATTGCAGTTAACGCTGGTGTATTGGGCGCAATGTTTGGTATGGCTTGTTGTATGGGGCCCCTTCTTGGTATGTGTTGCAAGAAATTCGGATCGGTTCTCGCCGCTATTGCGCACGCTCTCGCCGTCGTTTTCTGCTTGGTATTCTTCGAGGCCATGTTCTTCTTGGAAGGATTTAACTTCGCCAAGACTTTGTTGGGAATGATTGCCTCGGCCGCCATTCAAAGATTTATCTACAAGCTCATTATCAGTTTGACATTGACCAGAGAATTGAAGACCGATACATCCAACATCGCCTTCTGGACTGGTAAATGGTATTCCATGGGTTGGCACTCAGTTTCCCAACCTGGCCGTGAATTCCTCTGTAAGATCACTGAGCTTGGAATGTTTGCTGGTGACTTCGTTCTTGGTCATCTCATTCTCTTCATCATGCTTCCTATCATCGCCATTCCTCAGGTTGACAAGCTTCATTCTGTGATGCTCTTCTGGCTTCGACCAAGGTATGTTTATTTCCACTACATCACTCACATAGGTTCCAAGCTAACTTTCTCCCAGTCGACAAATTCGTCCTCCAATTTACTCGTTGAAGCAATCCAAGCTACGAAAGAGACGTGTTTGGAGATACGCTGTCATCTACTTCGTTTTGTTCATCGTCTTCCTTGCCTTGTTGATCGGTCCACTTATTGCCGGCAAGATGATTCTGTCCGATAGCTTGACCAGTAAGATTCCATTCAATCTTTACCAACCTACCGGCCAAAATAACAACGACACTCGGGGCTATAACGAGACCGGTACTGGCTGCGTGACTTGCTCTGGTGCTACTGCCACAGCGAGTGCCTCTAGCACAGCCGCTGCCAAGGTTAGGCTCTTTTAGAATGACGGTGTTGTATAGATGACTGCTAGGGCTGTAATATAGAATGGTATGGTATGCAGTACATTAAAAAGATCTTTGGAATGGATGCGTGGCCATCGTCACTTCATGGGGTGTTTTTAAACTTTGAGTTAGGGTGTTTGCATGGTAAACGGCTTTAGATATTTGTTTTTTGTTTCCTTTTCCCTCCTTTACTGTTCCATAATGACCCGAATGCAATACTGGATGCTCAGGCTTCGATCACCTAGAGTCCAAATTACGGCTGTAATATGTTCTACAGCGCGAAGATAATACAGAGTCTTTACTACAATGAATATGAGTAAATTTTTGGTTATCCCAATTTCTTTAGATGGCTGATTACTGTGACGATTGCAATGTGACCGAATTTTCCAAGCATTCATGCAATGCTAGCCCAATCTATTTGAATGAAACGAGGGAACTCTGACGTGCCTCCTTTTCCCTCGAAGAGAATCGTAGCATGAATTTCACTAGCTTACTAATTTTCTTTGCAGCCCACATCACATTCTAGCTAGCTAGTTATAATAAATCGATAATCTACACATATAGTCCTTGAAGAAGATACAATACAATAAACAATAGTATCTTTCGTTTGCATCGTTGGTATCTATACGGATAGTGACAATATATATCTCTCTTAAGCCCACCTGTTCAACTTGAACTCCACGGACATTCAATTACGCGAAGCCGACAGCAAGTCGCGATAACCATCATTGAACAAGCCAGCACTTTTTTGTGCCAGTACGAGTGGAAGCGGGAACGTTTTCTACCAATCGTCCCTTTAACATCATACTCAATTCTTTTCTCTGATTCCGGCCAACCCGATTGCTATCAACATGGACCTTCAGGACATTCAATCGTACATGGTCTCGTCCATAAATGAGATCACATCGACTTTTCAAAAGGTGCCTGGCTCTGCCATGCTCATCCGCTATATTCAATCAAGTTATCAGGATGATCCGGTCAGATCTGTTATCGAATTGGTTCTGGTTATCTTCTTCATCAGATATTTGCTGGCACCTAGTTATGTGACGCATAACAATAATTTTGTTCAGTTGACGGAGGAGGTGAGCGGTCTTCCCCAATCAGATTGGTCTGCGAGTCAAAGTTATGGAAACTGATCTAGTAAATTACCAGGAAATCGACGACTTGGTAGACGAGTGGCAACCTGAGCCATTGGTTGCAAAGATGACTCCTTTTGAAGAGGCAGACAGTGAGAAAACGCCCATCATCGTAGGGTGAGTTTGACTTCCCCTTCCTCAACATTCTGTTTATGCAGTGTGCTAATATAAAGAAGGCCTACAGGACCAAAATCTAAGCTCTCGAATGGCCGCACGGTAATGAATCTCGCATCTTATAACTTCTACAATTTCGTTGGCAATGAGCAAGTCAAAGAAAAGGCCATCCAAACTCTCCGAACTTATGGTGTAGGACCTTGCGGACCCCCTCAATTCTACGGCACTCAAGATGTACACATGAAAACTGAAGCGGATATTGCATCGTGTTTGGGAACTGAAGGATGCATTGTATATGCTCATGCATTTTCTACGATTTCAAGTGTGATACCAGCATTTTGCAAAAGAGGTGATATTATTGTGGCGGATCGAGCAAGCAATTACTCAATCAGGAAAGGTCTGCAGATCTCTAGAAGTACAGTCAAATACTTCGAACATAACAATATGGAAGACTTGGAAAGGGTATTGCAGAAGGTGGTTAAGGAACAAGCCAAGAGACCGTTGACCAGAAGATTTATTGTCACAGAGGGATTGTCAGAAACAGTTGGTGATTGCGTGGACTTGCCCAAGCTGGTAATTATCTCAAATCACATCCTCATGCTCATATGCATAATTGACAAATCATTAGATTGAACTCAAACGTCGTTACAAATTTCGCCTAATGTTGGATGAGACATGGTCCTTTGGAGTTCTTGGTAGAACGGGTCGCGGTCTTACGGAAGCACAGAATGTGGATGCATCGCAAATTGATATGTTGATTGGATCATTAGCTGGACCTCTCTGTGCCGGAGGTGGATTCTGCGCAGGCTCAAACGATGTGGTAGAACATCAGCGTATCACTGCTGCTTCCTACACTTTCTCCGCGGCTTTGCCGGCTATGTTGGCTACCACCGCTAGCGAAACGCTCAACATGCTACAGACTAATCCTGAGGTTTTGGTACAATGTAGAGAGAATATCAAGGCAATGAGGGCTCAGCTTGATCCGAGAAGTGACTGGGTTCACTGCACCAGTGCCGTTGAAAACCCGGTGATGCTCCTTGTTCTCAAGCAAGATATTGTCAACTCCAGACGTCTCAGTATCGAGGAACAAGAACGTATCATGCAAGAATGTGTCGATGAGGCAAGCAATTCTATCACTTAATATTGGTTCTATGCGCTAACTTGTATACAGACACTCGCCAATGGAGTAATGATCACTAGACTCAAAAGTATGCCAGTCTACTCGGGTAGCAATGGCAAAGATGAAGAGTGGAAATTACAACCAGCACTCAAAGTATGCATTACGACAGGACTCTCGAAAAAGGAGATTGAGAAGGCTGGTGTCGTTATTAGACATGCTATTACGAAAGTCTTGACCAGAAAGGCGAGTAGTAAGTTGGCCTTGCCACTGGCCTAAAATTATCGTTTCCTCGGCTACATTTCTAGTAGCGGGGTGTTTCTTTTTACATGATAGATGATGGATGATGGATGAATAGGGGGTTATTGACTTTAGCGGTTGGGAGAAGGGGCTGTGAAGGGGGCTAGAAGAGGATTGAAGAGCTGTAATGTATAATAATGGGGTACGTGTATTCGATGTGAGTATAGACCGATATACATAAATTAAAAATTACGAATGAATATCTTCACTTAGTAATTATTATGGCACATTGCACTTTATGGGCGGCTTTTTTTTTACTCGCGAATGAGATTGTTTGTAGACAAATATAAATTTGGACATTCTATGTTCATTAGATTTGTTGTCTGATAAATTTGAGGCTAGCTAGGTGGATGTATAAGTTTAAATCGGATGTTAGTACGTGAGTAAATTGGGAACGGATGGTAGGTAGAAGAAGAAGAAGAAGTACATGAGATGTTTCGATGGGGTTATTTTGGGCGAGAGTCCAGGTTTGGGTTTGGGAGGTGGAAATGGAAATGGAGGGCAGGGTATGGAGTAGTTCGAACTCCAGAGAGTGGTTGGGGTTGGTAAATTATTGATTCAGTGACAGAGATGATGTATGCGTATGCTCTTTACCGCCGCTGAAGAAAGGGTTTGCACGTTGAGAAGAATCTAGCAGGGAGGACTCTCTGTACTCTGTGAAGTACCAAATTTCCACTTGTTAGACAGATTACTTCCCCTTCTGTCTGGTTCACCGTCTATCTTCTTCCTTCTTCTTCCTTCTTCTTGAATCTTGAATCTTGGACTTTTCTAGAATGTGATGATGTACTTACTGTACGAGTAGATGTATCCCAGGGGAAAATATAAAAAAGGTCAATCTAATGAACGAATGAATGAATGAATGAATGAGCTTTATGGATGAATAATGGATGGTAAATAATGAATAATGGAGGTAAATAATGGATAATGGATAATGAATAATGAATAATGAATAATGAATAGGCCGGTAAATATGCAGGTACCAATCAATCAGCCAGTGACATTCGAATGGTACCTGAAAGGATAAATCGAAGTCTGGAAGGAAGACTTGGCGCCTCGTGGGCTTGTTGATTGCCGCTATAATGGAATTTTAGGGCAGAGTGAGAGAGTGGCAGTGGCAGACAGACTGGCAGCCTGGCAGGGCATGAAGGTTTATTACCAGGAGTCCAAGTCTAGGAGTTGACTGGGAACTAGGGGCTGCGACGGATATGTCCGGTAGACTGCAGTGTTTACCTATGACGAATTGAATACATGCCTCAAGGAGTTACAATACATCACATCACGTATTACCATGTTGAACTTCTCACTCACACGCTCTCCCATACTCCCATAGAACAGTATTTCAATTCAAGTCAATCTGTACCATCAAAATCAATCACATGAACAGTTTTACTCCCAGAACTCAAGACGCAAGACCACTGTGGGGGGTAAATTTCGATTTGCACAATTGATCTTGCAATCGGGCTCGGAAGATTTTGTGGTGCCATTATTTCGCATCGCCAATGTTCGTCCATCCATCGGTTACGTCTTACAATAGGGAAGGAGACCCATTCTTCTGAGCACCAATCTCGATCCAATCGGAGGACCGTGGTAGGGATTGCTGCAGCCCTGTTCTGCAGACTGTACCTGACATGTACACCGACCGGCGGCCAGGATTTGGAGATTACTTCGTTCGGCGGCTGGGTGAAGTGTTGCGTGAGGGATTGATCCAATAGGTTGTGCTTTGGGGGCGAATGCAGGAATCGGCGGGAAGGGGGGTCGTTTGATTAAGGACCACGTAGGTCCTGGGCGATTGCTAGGATCTCTTGAGTAGATAGGTGGGTTTGGATAAGGTTCCGGATTCCACAATTTCTCTGGGAAAGGGTTGTCACTTGTAACATTGCGAGCGAAAAGTTTTTGTGTGCGTGGTCTGGTGAGGTTTGGTTGGTGAAATGTTATGGGTTGGTGATGCTCGCAAAGTGGAAAGTGGGAAGGGAGAAAGAACGGTCGGGAAATAGAAGGTTCTCTTAAGCTTTTAAGTCTTGGCTACACACGACATTGGATCACTACTGGTGATACCCAAGCAACGTTGAGGCAATAATTTATATAAGGTTGTTATTCGGGGCAACGCATTGCATAATAGTCGGTTTCACAAATTCGGGGGTAGGGCAGGTGTGATGAGATTACAATTTACGAGCAGGTGGTAGGTGGTAGGTGGTAGGTGGTAGGTACACCAAATGATGAGATGAAAATTGAGATGCAGAATTCCGACTTTGGAAGGAGAGGAAGATATGGTCGAGAGGAATACATATGGTCGAGAAGTCGAGAAGAACAGAATGATCAGAGTCATAGTCAGAATCACAGTCAGAATCACAGTCAGAATCACAGTCAGACCCAGATGGGATTGAGATTTGGAGATGAGAAGGAGTTCTAACATTATTCTATGGACTGTCAGAAAGTGTCAGAAAATATTACCGTGATATATAAAGTGGATATATATCAAGACTTATATTAATATGGAAAGAGGTGGTAAATGGTTTGTAGTTGTAGCACTCAGAAATCCTTGTTTCATCCACTTTATTGATCTCCCATTTCATTTCAACTTGCTTGCCACAAAAAGTTCTTCCATGTGGTCGCTCTTGAGTTTTGAGTCTTCATCGAGGGCTTTGGGGGCTTTGACCAGACATGACCTTGAAGACGTGAGATGATGAAGTTGGGATGAACCTTTCTTCGCCTTCTCTTTCTCCTTCTCCTTCTCCTTCTCCTTCTCCTTCCCCTCCGTCTTCCAAAACAGAATCAAGACCCCGTATGTTCTCTTCGTCTCTTACCCCATACATGTCATGGTCATGGTCATGCCGCCTTGACTCTTTCCAATCTTCAGTCAGTACTTCATTACTAGGGAATCGTTAGACTGTAGTCTCGAGTCTTCGTAAGTCATAACTTATAACTTATAACTTATATTTTATATCTTCCATTCTCCATTCTCCATTCTCCACACAATATTATTCCTCAAATTACCTTGACCGGGGAAAAGAAAGTTGCTCCTTCTCACCTTCTAGACTTTGGGATCTTCATAGATACGGAGGGGCGTCTCTTTCCTTTTTGGTCCAATCTCATCGTCAATTAATATCTCTCTCTCGTCATCCCCGGTCAACCTCCACCATTACACCGTTGTACCGGTGTTCGGATTGGAATTCGACTTTGACTGTGATCATTCTGTGATCTTTCCTTTCCTTCCTTACCTTTCTTTTACATCGTACTTCACCCTCACTTGATTGGCCCTTCACTTCTTGACAGTCAACACCAACCCAAAAAATCTTACTCTCCACTTTCTTTGGAGTGAATTGCGGAGCGGAGCAGTAAATTAAACACAAAAAAAAAGGAACGTCAACCTCTTCTTGGGTACCTGGATACCTGGATACCTTGGATACCTGAGATAAGTAAGTGCTTCCGTAAACAAAACCAAGCCTCCTCCTCCAACATCAACAATAATAATCTCTATCGTTGGTTCCTTCCTCGACTTGTGATTTTTATTATCATTCTCCACCTCCAGAATTAATAAAGTCTCTAATCTCTTTTTAGAATTTCGAATTGATCTTCGAATTCTCATCACTATCCTTCAATATCACTCACACATTCACATACACACACACACACTCTCTCTCTCTCTCTCTATATCACCGACGATTTGATAATCAGTCAAATCTCATAACCTTCCTTTTCATTTATTTCCTGGACCTAGACGTCTTTCAGAAATACAGTCGACAATTACAATTGCAAAATTTGCCGCGCATCTTTTGCTTGCATTTGCCCAACACTCATTTCAATTACTACCAAGAAAATACAACATTCCTGTCGTCCTTGATATCCAATTGAGACTAAGCCTTCTTGACGTCAACATTCTCAAGATCATATTTACATTCCAACGACCTCGAAATCTAAGGTTGGTTACTTTTGTTCCTGTTATCAAACTTCACCAAGCCATTCTTGCGGCCTGTAAGGTCCTAGAGTCCTAGAGATCAACATGGGATTTCCTACCCAAGGAGTTTATTTGACTCCAATACTTTGGATCTTGTCCTCCTCACAATCTCATGACAAATTCATGTTTCATTCCTTGTCTTCTCTTTTGTTTATCTTGTCAACTCTACATTGAACCGTGAACTAACCGCTGGCCGGCAATAGATAGAATCTATTTCGACTTTCAACCCAACACATTCTTTCTCTCAATATCACATTCAATATGAAGAGCGCCATCCTGTCCCTCGCGGGTTTCTCCCTTGTCCAATTGACTTTGGCTCAACCATTCAGTATGTATTTGCTGGCGCAGTCCATTCTTACAATACTTATTGACACCTCACAGACCGTCATAATGCTCACCGGGCCATTCACGACAAGAGAAATTTGGTTACAGTGATTGATACTGTCGTCGTCGAGGCTACCGAAATTCCAGAAGTCATCATCTATGTTAGCACTGACGGTACCCCTCTTTCAACTACTACCGAGTATCTCGACAACGAGCCAACGACCATCTATCAATCGAACCCATCTGTCGCTACCTCGAGTGTCGCCACTACGACTACTCCAGTTGTCGACGTCCAAGCTGCCGCTGCTGTTGCCGTTCAACCATCCACTCCAACTACTGCCGCTGCTGTAAGCACAACAGCAGCTCAAGTTCCAAGTGTAGAAGTCTCTGTCGCCGCCTCCATCGCAGTTTCTGTAGCTTACACTAGTGCTGCTGCCCCAGTTGCCGCTACTTCTACCAGTGCTGCTGCTCCCGTTGTCAGCTCTTCCAGCAGCGCTGCCGTTGTTTCGATCCCAGTTTCTTCGAGCTCTTCGGCCACTTCTTCCGCTGCAGCCGCATCCACCTCAGCTGTCGCTGCATCATCGGGAGGATATGGATTCGCATACTCTCCTTACATGGCCAATAACGCTTGCAAGACTCAAGACCAAGTAAACGAGGACTTTGCCGCAATTCCATCATCATACTCTACCGTCCGTATCTACGGAACAGATTGCAATCAAGTCGCCACTACTTTAGTAGCCGCCAAGAAGTATGGTTTCAAGATCTTTGCTGGTGTATATGATTTCGCTGAGGTTTCATCCGAAACTCAAGCAATTGTCGATGCTGTTGATGGTGACTGGAGTTTGATCACTACCATCTCCATCGGAAACGAGTGGGTCAACAACGGTGTGACTGATGCTGCTGGTGTTGCCAGTGCCGTCGCTACTGCTAAATCTATCCTTTCTGCCGCCAATTACCCTGGAAAGGTTGTAGCCGTTGATACCTTGGCTGCGACTAAGCTTTACCCAAGTCTTTGCGACAATGTTGATTATTGCGCCGTCAATTGCCATCCTTTCTTCGATACTAACACCGCCGCCGATGCTGCTGGTACCTTCCTTAGCAGCCAAATCTCCGAGTTGAGAGCCCTCTTGTCCAACCCTGATATGGATATTGTTATCACTGAGACCGGATGGCCATCCGCTGGAACATCTCACGATCAGGCTGTCGCCTCTCCCGATGCTCAGACCACTGCTATGGCAGCCATCAAGGATCTCTTCGCATCCAACGCATCCAACGTTTTCCTTTTCAGTACATTCAATGATTACTGGAAGGTCAACACCGCTGCTCTTTACATGGCAGAACAATCCTGGGGATACCTTGGAAATTCTCCTTCTGATGTAGCAGCTGGCTTGGTCTAAATTCTCACGCAGACCTGAATGACGATCTGATCTAACCTTTGGAGTATTCACGGCGTTCTTTGGGGGTTATAACCAATATGTACATACATGTGGTGTGAACATACAAAACTTTTTTCTGCTATTATTGTGCTTGATGGAGTGGAAGGGATTGATGAATGGAAATCTGAGATAAAACATGAGTGTATTTCGTACTGTTGAGAGCCGACTGTTGGGTACTAGGCTCCGAGTATATATTGCGCGCGATTCGTGGTGGGGAGATTAGATGGACTGAGGATGCAAAATGGTGCTGTGAGCTTGATAGGATGAAGATACTTTTCAATTGTACATATTGTAGTTTTTATTTGGAGGGATAAAAGAGAGAAATGACGATACCAACCTGAATTGATGATACAACAATCGGGGAATTTTTAGTCTGAGTTTGTTTCGTGTGATACGTGATGTGAGGATGGGATCTATTGGCGAGCTTGAGTGATCTGGACCTCGAGGTTCAATATTTATCGAAGGCGGCATAGGAGCTGGTGTCAATTTGGCCATGCGAACAACAGCCGCAATTGATTATATCAGTGTTTCTTGTTCAGATGGCAAGGAATCAAGCGTGGATTTGAGCAGAACCCAATGTCGGGATTGCAGGAGTGGTAGCGAGTTGGGATTTGAAAGCAGGATCTGGAACTTTGGAAGTCCTTCTTTCACCATTTCACGCATGTCAGAAAGAGAAAAAGAGTCTTCGCCTCCGTCCTCTACAGTCATAGTTGGGATAGTTGGTTGAAGGAGGTGCGGATGGAGATATTTGTACTCGTGTAGTTGGTTTTCTGGCGTGCGTGTTGATGGTAGGGTGGTGGATGAATGGATGATGTGTGAGTTTGACTTGGTTTGACTTGGTTCGGTTCGGTTCTAGGGGTAAAATGATGTTAGGTAGGTGGGTAGGTAGGTGGGTAGGTAGGTAGGTAGGTATTGCTATTTTGGGGGCCTGGGGGAGGAAAGTTGATTTGGGAGATTATGGGGTGAGAGGGGGGAAGACTCGAGGATAGTATTCATTTGGTTGATTGGATTGGAGTTTCGGTTTGAGTTTGAGTTTGGGTTTGGGTTTGGAGAGGTAAGGAGGTGAGGAGGTGAGGAGGCAAGGGTCAGGATTGTTGATGATCTATGTAGATTGCTATGTTAGAGGGCTGTTGTGCTTCAAGCATGATATGTCTTTGTGTGGTGGACATTTGTTGTCGAGGTCCTTGGGGGGAGATATAAGTGTGGAGTTTGGGGAGGTTAGAGGTTGAGATGGTGAGGACGATGCCGAGGAGAATGATACAGTATACCGTAAACAGTTCGGGATCTGCATAAGCGTGGATATGAGGTTGCCTATGGAAATGACAGACAGGGCAAGGGAAAGCTATATCGTTTCGAGGCAATTGAAAATCGAATGTGATCATGACATAGCATTGGGTTGCTCAAAGGGAGACCCAGGAAGAGGGGATTGAATGTTACGTATTTTCTGCCTGCGATGGACTCGTAGCAACACATCAAATTTTATGAACAGAAATACAAATTGGCAGTATAGATCTCGGTCACAAAGTATCACACAAGTATCATAGAGAGTATCAATAAATGAGAGGAACAGCGTTCAATTGTCTACCCTCATAAAGTGGTCGACCTATTTCTTCACCATCATTTCCTCCCTTTCTCATCACATTCAACTAATTTATGCAGCGATGGTAACCTCAACCTCAACACCAGCTTCGATGTTGATGATGATTTGCTTGACAACCTCGGTAGGGGCGTTAAGACTATTATACAATTAGTATATTGTTCTCTCTTTAGATTTCTCTAATCCTCTTGATCTTCTGCCAGATTTCCAAGTATAAAGAATGCGGGGGGGGGGACGTACTCAATGAGACGCTTGTGGATTCTCATCTCGAAGCAATCCCAGGTCTTGGAACCTTCACCACAAGGGGTTTTACGGGTGGTAACCTTCAAGGTTTGGGTTGGGAGACGGACTGGTCCCTTGATGCGGAGATCCTTTCCCTTGGCACGCTCGATGAGCTCACGGCAGACCTTCTCAAGGGACTCAACCTTCTTGGAGGTGAGGGTGATTCTGATCTTGTGGGTTTTCTATGAAAGAGGGGATAGGTTAGTTTCATAACATATATTTCCAATTCGATATGCGGTTTGGACTTTGCGCAAACGAGGGGGGGGGGGGGGTGTTGAATGTATTTGGAGGAAACGTACTGGGCCTTCACCGGCGAAATCCTTTTCCTTGTTGTAAGACATGATTGCTGATAGATTGAATGGATTGATAGAATGGGATTCTATTGATTGATGTTATTCCTTCAAGACTCGAACGATGGTTCCAGTTGCGGCAAAGTGATGAAGGTGGTCGTAGAAAAAGAATTCTGAAATTTGGCGCGAAGATTAGATAAAATTGAAGATTCACGAAGACTGTGGGAGAAAGTCTTGGCATTGCAGGGTTAAACGAATGGATTCTATTGGTTGAAGATCACATCTGTGAGGTTTCATGAATATTGATGCCTTAACATCTTTTGCGCGGCATACGACTTCAATTTAAGGCATTCATATATTTTTCATCCAAGATGCCATCATCATTGATTTGATAGGTGGGTCAAGTTGATAAGTGTGGCCGAGTGCAGTAGCAGCAGAAGTAATTTGATGGTATACCTACCTACGTATTGAGTCAAACGGCGAGAGCATTTATTGTACATATTTTGACGCCTTTAAATTCTTCAATTGCACTTTCTTTCTTTCACTTGCAAACACATATCTCTCAAAAGTACCAGACGACCCAAACTTTCCATTGCATTTTAGCTTATTTAAGTTTCCATCAAATTAATTGACCAGACGAGGAAAGCACTGGTGTACAATACAAGACTTACCACCAGCTATTGGCTTGGCCTCAATATATCATCCTAGCTCACGAGGTCACAATTACTTCCCGTTCTACCGATACTACAGCAGAATTCAGAGATGGCTTCAAAATCAATAGTTCTCCCACCTTTAGTTCCATATCCCAAACTATCATGGAGGTCAAATATGCTACCGGAAGAGTGGGAAGCTTGCTTAGATGCTTGGATGTCTCTGACCGAAGCACATCTATCAATACCATCTCCAGATTTTGTACGGATATCAGCAAAAGATGAATCCTTACCGAACTTCCTGGCATCCTACTTTGCCGAAACGGCTCTATCACATGACGAAAACTCGTTAGCCAATCCCTCAAAGACCAAGCAACTTCGCAAGCAAGCATATCTTCTGTTCTATAGGCTGGTTGGCGTTGACAAGTCACCTGAATCGTTACTGCGTTGGGAAGTTCTCGCAGATGTATGTAAAGTTTATGGGAAGGAAAAGGGCAGCAAAGTCACAACATTAGTATGGAGCAAGCACTCTTCAATAATCGAGGGCTCGCTGGGCAGTGTCAAGAGCTTGTTGACAGAAGAACTGGAGGCCGGGATCAAAGGAGATCTCAAAGGTTCAGAAATACAATTGAGACGATTAAATCAACTGCTACACGCTTCTCCTGAAGCAGCTTCGTTCTTCATGGCTGGAGATGATTTCGTGGATGCTCTTATAAGTTGTTACAAGCTCATGAATCCACCACTACGAAAGGTCATCATCTCTACTATCTATCTCTGTATCATTGGGCTTACAGAAGGCCCTAAACCAAGATTTTCATCACTCGTTGACCAACTTTATTCCTTGAGTGCTGCGGCTGAAGCACATAAGAAAGGTCCAACCAATGTGAATGACTCATTGGTTGCAGAGTTGGTCACAGTAACACCTGTGTTGAAGCAACTTCAGCAAAGAATCGATGCTAGTGGCTCGGGGTCGAGCAGAGCAAAGTCTGTGATTACTACTCTACAAGGCTTTCGTAAACCAGGAAGTAGCGGAAGGCCTCTACGCCTTGTCAAAAAGAAACCTAACAAAGGCAAGGGATTGGCTGACACTCATGATCGTGAAAATAGTAGTGTACACGTTCATCAGATGAGTCTCATATCACAGGTTCAGGATTTGTTCCCAGATCTTGGATCAGGCTTTATTGTGAAGCTACTTGAAGAATATAATGATAATACGGAGGAGGTTATATCTCATCTTCTGGATGGATCCCTTCCACCAAGTTTACATAATGCTGATCGACATGAGGAGTTGTATGTGTCCTCATTCTGCCAATCTCACCACTCTAACCATTTCTATAGCGAACTACCTAACGAACCATCTTCAAGTCACGCCGATCTAGTACCTCATTCAACTCCCCCGCAACTTCCTACTCGCCGCAACATCTTTGATGATGACGAACTTGACCAGCTCACGGTTGATGCATCTCGCCTGCATTTCGGCCGTCGCAATCCCGATCAAACAGCCGATGATGTGCTTCAAGATCGCTCCACCGCTCCCAATAAAGCCGCGATTCTCTCCGCACTTGCTGCCTTCGATTCTGACGATGATGAAAGAGACGATACATATGATGTCGCCGATGTTGGCGGAACGGTTGATTCTGCCAACCCCGAAGAATTCAACCCCGAGAATAACTCACAACAGAGTGCACATGATGAAACCCTCTTCCGTGCCTACAAGTCATCACCAAGCATCTTTGCTAGGGATGCAACCACTCGTAGAAGCAAAGAAAGAGCAGCTATAAGACTAGATACGGGCATGACGGACGAAGCACTCGAGGGATGGGCAGTCATGCTTTCTCGTGACCCTAGGCAAATGCGACGACTCGAAACTCGATTCGCTACGTTCAAGGGAGAACAGACAAGTTTGGAGAGTACGTCGTGGAAAGCTGTTGAGGGTGAGGAAGAAGGGAATGGAAATGGCAACAGGGGTAGAGGAGGCAGAATTAGAGGACAGGGTAGAGGTGGGAGAGGTGGCGGGGGAAGAGGGGGAAGAGGCAATGGAAACGTGGCGGGTACGAGTGGTGATAAGGAGACCGACGTTGCTAGACAGAGGAAAGAAGCGAACAAGGGATCGAGAGCTAATCACAATCGTAGGGAGGGAAGGGCGAGAAAAATGGCTAGGGGAGGATTTCCGGGATAGTGGAAAGAGCCTTCAAGTATGGTAAAGGTTGAATTGAAGAAAGCGAAAAGCGTGGATACCTTTAGATTAATCTCGATACCATAAACTTGTTGATCATCATCCACATGCACGTCATGGTTCTATACTACGTGCATTTACCCAAATAGGACGACTTTCGTAATGTTGGGGAAGGCCAAGGTCTTGAACGAGGGGCGTGGAAGTGCAGCGAGACCATGGAGGTTGAGGGCAGTAGATTAAGGCAGGATATGAACGATGATAGCATAAGGATAGAATGTATCAACGTAAAGTATGAGTAGAAAAGCAAGAAGTAGTAACAGCTATGAATTAGAACCCTGTTGGTCGAGTTCCTTGCGCTTATTGCTCGTTGGGCGAATTCCTAATCCAATATGGCCTCTATGAAGTCACGACGCTGTTTACGCTCAATCTCCTCCTTATGCGACACCAAATCCACAACACTAGAACACGCACATTTTGTAAAGAAAATAGATATCTTCGTTTGAAAAATGACCCAAATGATCTATTACATGTCACATTCTATGATATTAATGCATCATATCCATACTATCTATACATGCCCAAACCATGTCCGAATTAAGCCCGTCAAAACCACAAGCACCACTTCAACCAAATTGATAATTGCATGACCTTCCCACGAATACTCCTAGTAAATCTTCTTTGATACAAATTATACCAAGCCCCAATTACAAAATCATAGTAGCACAAATGGTGGGTTTATAGTGTACAAATAGAAGCCTAATCGACCTCCCAACTCTCGCTGGTAGTCGTATCCTTCTTGGATTGTGAGGAAACCTTCCTTTGTCTTGAAGGCGTGGGTGTAAGACTAAATCCAAAGTCATCCTCAGTCCAACTTTCGCCATGATATTCGTCTTCGGTGAAATCCCAATGTACAGCCTCTCCTTCGCCGAGCAGGACCCCTCTCCATTCACCCGCTGCAATTTTAGATGCAACATTAATCATCACTTGCAGTAAGTGACTTGGGGGACTCAAAAGAATTTCACATGTCTTTTGGATGATGGCTGTTGGAAGATGTCGAGCGGTTTGTAGTCGCCGTGATCCCGGTGGTGGAGAAAACAGGTTTACTGCAGCAGGGAGAGGGGATAGTGTTCTTCTTCGTGAGTTGCTACCTGTAGTACCACGTTGTCTCAACCTTGATGGTGAAGGAGTAATGGCCTCAAAGGCTTCATCTTCAGACTTGCCGCAATCATTGACCAAAGTCGGTGTCTTGGGAGCAGGTGACAAACTTCGAGGAGATGTACTAATGAGTGAAGGTGTGGGCCATACTCCGTGTGTCTCGGGGGTTACATTAAGCTGTGAGATTGCTTGGGTAGGGTGTACTTTCTTTGGAAGGACAATATTATCGTGGGGGTAGGGAAAAGTGATAGGTGAAGGTGGACCGGATAGGGGCGGTGACGGTGGTACATCAAGTGGGGAGTGCCATGACTGTGTAGAGTGAAATGAATCGACGCTTGATGAGAGCTCTGAATCAGGGTCACCGACCGCAATTTTGCCCACTGGAGACCTGTTTCGACGCTTTGAAGGTGGACTTGTGACTAGAGAGAGGACAGGAGGGGCCGTGATTGATCGACTACAGTGATGTAACACTTGTGAGGGACTTCTGGAGCCAGGAAGTGATTGCGAACGTGGCGATTGAGCGGGAGTTTTAACTGTAGCATTGGTGTCGTACGTTGCGTCACTATCACCACCTTCACCAACCTCTATACGGGACAAGACGGTAAGTATAGATTCTGATGAGACTACACCATATTCTGTTGGATGGGGTTCGACTGCACGAGTTTTTAGTGGGTATGTTGGGGAGTGTACTGTTGGATTCGTAGATTTGGCTACAGATGTTTCTGGCGTTTCTTCTTGGAATTGCAGGTCTGATATGCATGTCTCTGTGGGGCTGGCCGCGGCTCGATGCAATGCAGAAGTCTGAAGTGGGGAAGAAGAGCGGGTTCTTCTGCATGACAGCTTTGGCGAGTTTGAGGTCAACGAGGTTGACTTCAAAGCAATAGGATAAAGGTCACCCCTAGGTAAAGGAATTCTAGATGATGATCTTTGTACTGGCTTCCACGGTTTTTGCGTGGTAGGTATTTGCAGAGCAATCGGCAGATCAACTGAAAACGTTCTTTGGAACGGACAAGGAGTCTTTTCATATAACAACACTTGCGCCAATATCTTCTTAAGTTCTTCTCCTTGCTTAATTTCTTCGGGAGTTGAGTTGCTTATCTCGATTCGCCAGTACTCCTGTAGCCTTCGCACTTGCAACACGAATTTGCTAGATCCATCGTCCGAGACAAACCAACATTGACTTCGAGGTAGTATCGGCTTTAAAGCTTTCTGACAATTGAAAAACGCGACAGATTCGGGAGCTCTATAGATGCGCAAAGTGCCTGCAAATCTCACATCAGCATGTATATTCATTCCTAGAGCGAACACAAAATTGCCACAAAACGCGTACCAACGGCGATTGTTCTTTCCCCTGGGGACGACCACCTCAAAGAGGAACCTATTTCCGTATTTTCCTTCGCAGATCCATTACTCGAGCTCGGTCGCAATGAAGTTTGCGACGGTATTGAAAAAGATATGATGCGGGCGCTATCGACACTATAAAGTGTCTCGATTTGGGGATCGGGAGTCGATATTGATCGATCAGAAACAGACACAGCGCGTGTCGATGACGAAGAATAAGCCATTGGCAATTGAGCCGATTTACTTTTTATATTTCCTGTCTGATGACCATCATGGTATTGCACATTTGCGCGATACGTGGCGAGTTTTTTGCACGTCGAAAATAAATGCAAATTTGAGATATGGAGTTGGGTTCCGCAAGCTGTCGTAGTTAGATTCGGCGAGTTTCAAGACGGTACAGGCAGTTCCATGTATCACCCTAAGGTGGCTTCCTGGCAATTCTATTTCTTGGATGAAATTTCAAGAAAGAATGTAGAGTGTAGAGTAGCAAGATTAAAGATGTGCGAGTGTGTGTGCCCGGGACGGTGAAAGAGACTATTGATTGTGGTGGTTAGAAGCAAGGAAGTTTATATCTGTAGATATACCTAACTTAGTGTGTATAGCGGCAGGTATCTATGTACTGAACATCTATGGCGAGACCGCGCGCTTACAATGTTGCTCTCCAACACATACTCTCATTCCTAAAAGTCAGTATTTATCCATCATATATGATTTCGGAGTATGTACGGTATGAATTTACAATTGAGTCAAAGTCACATTGTTTCAATTTCCTGGAGATTTATTGAGTTCGGACATTGACGGATTGCATTGCACGGAGCATACAGTAGAGTAATATAGCTAGAATGCAGCTTGTAGTGGGGGATCAGACAGTGGAGTGGTCAAGGTAAGTTATTATTAGTTGTCTTGACTCTGGAGGTTGCGTACCCGTCCCGAGTAGGAGGTAATAATAAGATGTGCCCCGGACCTTCAACTCGCAGTTCCAAAGCAATTTCAACGGCTCCTCAACAATTGAGATATAAGAATATAAGAATCGCAAGGTATTGATCGGTAAGGCAATGTGTAAGCAATGGATGCAATGGATGCAATGGATGCAGATGCACCAGTGCAAGATACTTGAATAGTCTCATTGACGGGTACCTGGTAGTAGTGAAGTGGCCAAAGTCCCAAAGACTGAAAGATGTCAAGAAACGGTAGATGGAACATTGCTCGTATTACTTTCCCACTTACAGTGCATATCCACGGGGCTTCGGAGAACAACCAACAACCAACAATGAATAATGAATAATGGATAATGGATAATGAGGGGTCAAATTGATGACGTCGCATAACCCGAACCAGGAATGCTGTAGCTTCTTAGAGCTCTGAGCTGTCGTATGCAGCGTATGACTGGGATTGAAGAAAAAAAATGGTGTAATGTATACATGCCACTACTACTACCACTACTACCACTACTACCACTACTACCTACAGGTCCATGTCCAATAGCTAGATAAGAAGGCTGATACCTACACTTTCTTCTCATCCTTCATTCAACCTTCGATATTTGACCATCGTCCACTCAAGCACAGGCAAGGCAAATATGGACTCAGAAAGGTTGCAGAAGCCTTTCAAAAATCGTGATGAATTGAAGGAGAAATTGTCTATCGATCATTTCGATTTGAACGCTATCCTGCGAGGAGCCCAATTGACAATCGTGGGAGGTCAGTTTCATAGCACAACGACAATAATACCCTGTCGTACATTGGAACACTGTGTTGACTGACTGCTTTATAGCTCTAAGGGCTCTGCGAAATCCGCAATTGTTTACTTCGGAGCATTACAAGCAGGTTGCTCTCGCAGTTTTGGCAGGCGTCGTAATTCGATTAGCTATAGAGATCCCCGTACGACTTCTCACCATACTTCGGCATTTTTAGGTGATTGCTAACATGTAGCAGATTTTCGGTGTGAGAGTCTTCCTATGGCTCATGTCATTTGTTGTAGACCTAGGAGCCTCTACTTTCGACAACAGGGTTGTCGAGGGCTTAGATCTTATCCAGAATCATGTTTTACAAGTTCCGTTCTTTCTCATGAGTATACTAAGTCGTGTCACACCAACCCTTGACAACATGTGAGTATCTCAATGCGAGCGCACAAATGCCATTGAATTGCGATTCTTTACTAACCCCCACAGGTTCATGATGAGCCTCGCGTTCGTTGACGAAACATATTACGAGAAACATAAAGGAGAGGAACGGTCCACATTAAGAGACGAATATTATCCAAATTTACGACGATATCCTAAGAGAGATGGCACAACCCACAAAACAAGCACAGCGGAGAATATGTCCATGTTTTTGATAAAGTTTGGAAAGAAGGCGGGGCTCTCTTTGGCAGTATATGCTCTCTCTTACGTTCCGATCCTGGGAAGATTTGTGCTTCCAGCTGCCAGTTTCTATACATTCAATAAGTACGAAACCCAATCGAAATATGACATATATTATACTAACAGTCCTTAGAGCTGCAGGACTTGGTCCTGGCCTTATAGTGTTTGGCACGGGTATCTTTTTGCCTCGTAGATATCTCGTAATCTTTCTACAGAGTTACTTCTCGTCACGCAGTTTGATGCGTGAACTGGTGAGTTTTTGAATCGTTGTTGTGATGTGAATTGTATCTGACTGGTCTAGCTTGAGCCATACTTCGCTCGTATCAAGTTTACCAAGGAGCAGAAGAAGAATTGGTTTCATGATCGAGAGGGACTCTTGTTTGGCTTTGGTATCGGGTTCTACATATTCCTTCGAATCCCTCTGCTTGGTGTACTTGTCTATGGTATTGCAGAAGCATCCACGGCATATCTTATAACCAAAATTACCGACCCGCCTCCACCTGTTGGACAAGAGGATAACTTTGCTGCTAGCCAACAAAAGTGGAAGAACAAGCATGAATTCTTGAACCTCAAACTCGACCAACTAGATTCTCTGAATACATCCAGTAGGAATGAAGTCACGCAGGGGTTTTCAAGCGAGAAAGCTTCATCATCGGCCACAGAAGTCCCTCCGCCGTACAGCGAGTTAAGATCGCGGTAATGAATGGATGGATGGTATAAATAGAGCATATCGCTAAGCTCGGTAGCATGCAAAAATCACCCAGTGATCTGAACAGGATGACCGAAACGTGTGCCGTGTTCTACGGCTACCAAGCAGACGGTTGGTAAGACACTAAGAAATATCTGTGTAATAGTGTATACTGCATCTTACTAGACATTAATCATGCCACGTTCTATTGCCAAACTCTAGCCTCATGCCTGGCACACTTTATCCATCATGAACTTCCCGAGACAGTTGAATGAGTCCCTTTCTTTGGAAAATCCTAGTGTCATACATATTTTTCAAGCCGATGAACCCCGCATTCCTCCTACTTCCCATACTCTCTTGATTCGAGTGCCACTCAGATTGGTCTGCGCAGATGATTGGTTCGATTCATTTGAGAGAGGAGGGGTAATTTGTAATTTGTAATTTGCGATAAGAGCTGCCGAACGTCCCTTTTCTTATCATTTCTTACGTCTCTTCTTTGATCAGCTACCTGGATATCTATCAGTATCTAGGAATTAATGGTAATTGATAGGAACTATATCCCATTTTTGGTTGACTACTACTAGGTAGCCTAAAGTATAAGAGTAAGTGATAGTGCTTTCTTCCTGTTCATTTCACCTTTGGCCACATCGTCAAATTTCGTCTGGCCTCCTCTTTTACAACAAACTTGTGAACGTAATCGACGCCTTACTTCATTCTTCCCATCTGTAACTACTGCAACTCGACATTCAACAAGATACAATGGGTCGATCAGAAATCCGCAATATCTGCAGAGTTTCACTTGATGAGCCTGCAGAAAGTCAACCGAAGCTTCATAACAGATGGCATCCAGATATTCCGTTCGCTGACACCATCAAGAATGGTGAAACCGTTAAGATAGAATGTGTAAGTGCCCCTTACATCCTGATCTTTTTCAAAATAGTGGCTAATCGCATTACTAAAGGTTGACTGGACTGGAGGTCAAATCAGTAAGCCTTCGACCCACATCATTGTCTTCGTAACTATTTACTCACGGCTGCTTCAGAGAACGATGACAGTGCAGATGATGTAAAAAATGTCGATCTGACCAAGATCCACTACTTATCTGGGCCATTTGAAATTGAGACAGCAGAGCCAGGAGATGTATTGCTTGTTGAAATAATGGATGTACAGCCACATCAAGAGCATCCTTGGGGCTTGTAAGTCACTTGCAATCAATTTCGAATCTACGTCATTTACTGGTTACTGATTATATACAGCACCGGTGAGCAACACATTGTTCAAGTGGTTCTCATAGACTTGATATTGACGTTGACTGCCTAGGTGTCTTTGCCAAAGAAAACGGAGGTGGCTTCCTGGATGAACTTTACCCATCGGCGTATGTCTGATTTCGATTAATCTCTGGATTTTAGAACTAACGAGTGGTGATATAGAGCTAAGGCTATTTGGGATTTCGAGGGTATCTATTGCACATCGCGACATATTCCCCATGTCAAATTTCCTGGATTGATTCACCCTGGTATTCTTGGTTGTGCACCATCTGCAGAAGTAGGTTCCCAAGCTATCATTTTTATACTTTGCCTTCCATTCTCGCGGGAGCACTTCAGCAACAGAGTTGAATCCAGCGACCTGTATAGTCGGGGCCACAGTCCCAGAATAAAACATGCCTATTCTTAGAATCCGGTACACGTGTTGAATTTTACTTGGGATGTGGCAGATCAATTTCAAAATGTCATGCTATATTTAAAGAGCTCATCATCTCTTTTATAATCGAGGGTTCCCAAAGTTAGACTACGGTCAGACTATAACCATCCCGATCGACTCACCATTCATTTTACACTGTCCCTTCAAAATCTTTATATTCTGATGATTGATTATAGGTTCTAGCCACATGGAACAAACGGGAGGGTGAACTGATAGCTGCCAACAAGCTGGACAGGATCGTTGCTCAACCACCTAACCCTCAAAACGTGCATGCTGGTTCGGCATCTGAGGACATCAAAACAAAGGTTGGCCGCGAAGGCGCAAGAACAATCCCGGGTATTGTGTTCACATGTGGCCCCAAATTGCTGTTCAAATTTTGATATTTGTTAGGTCGCCCGGAACATGGCGGGAACTGTGACATCAAGAATTTGAGCAGAGGAAGCAAGGTGAGATTACCTAGTAACAAAATAATTGAAAGTGGATACTGACTACATGATGAGGTGTACCTTCCAGTACATGTGAAAGGAGCGAAGTTCTCTGTTGGAGATCTCCATTTCTCCCGTAAGTGGTTCTTTCTGTTGTCTATTCATTCAAAGTAATAACTGTGAAATCAGAGGGCGACGGCGAAATCTCATTTTGCGGTGCTATTGAGATGTCCGGTGTCATCACCATCAATTTTAAGGTGATGAAAAATGGTATAGCAGATCTTGGTATGAAATCACCAATCTACTTACCCGGCCCCGTCGAGCCCCATTACGGACCAGGAAGATACCTTACCTTTGAAGGATTCAGTGTGGACCACCATGGTAAACAGGTACGTAGTGTAGCAAGTCTGTGTAATGATTTTATGTACTAATGGAACACGAAAGCACTACATGGACGTCACTGTAGCCTACCGCGAGACTATTTTGCGTTGCATCGAGTACCTACGTCGATTTGGGTACTCTGACTACCAGATCTATCTCTTGTTATCCTGTGCACCAGTACAAGGTCACGTCGCTGGAATCGTAGATATCCCAAACGGTAAGTTCAATTGACAATTTCTAAGCCACAAGATCGCCCACTTACAATCTGAAACCAGCATGTACGACTCTTGGTTTGCCCATGGATATTTTTGATTTCGATATTTCTCCTTCTGGTCCTGCAAAGAAGCTGGATATGGGTAGCTGTGCCTTTGAGACCGGTGTTACCGAGGGCAAAGTCACAAAGGGTGGTGAGAATAGTGAGCACAGCTTCGGCGGTGGTTTGACATTCAAGTAGTAGTAAGATATTATTTGAGTGCTCAACATGGTACTTTATTATTGCGCCAGCAGATGATTTAGCTGTTCTCTTTTTTCGCGTAGGCACTTAATGGATTCTATATGTCGATATGTTGATAGCTTGAGTTCCTTCTGTCCTTATGCCGTACTTTCATTGATCCAACAATATTAACCAGACGGAGCTTCGAAGTAATTCTCAAGCAGCGATTTGAGCAGCCAATGCCGACTTTATCATCTCGTTATTCTGGGTGTAATTGAATGCACCCATGAACATACGTATTTGGTAACACATTAACAACTCATACTAATTTCAACCGATTTGTCAAACAGAAACTACTATCCGCAACGAAGCATAAATATACAAACACGTACTTTCATTATGACAGCAATTCGAATAACTATCAATTCAGTAAATATGGGTAACAATCTTTACAGTTTTTTTTACATCAATTTTTTGAACACCTTCTATTAATCACCTCTCTAAACTCTGGCCGTTGATATATATTCTTTGGCGTAAGTGGACGCAAGGTGGTCGAGCATATCCAAGATAGCCCAAGTATCAACATATTCATTGAGCAGGCTAAGAATGGGAGTGACGTTCTTGCTCCAATCAGCAAGTTCATTCAGTGTATCTTGCTCAGTCGCCGCACGTGTGAATCTATGTAGGTTTATTGAGCCTTCTTTAGTTCTTGTAAAAGCAACTACATTCATAGTTTCCCCTCTGTCAACAGGGAGAGTTATAACGTGACCGTCTAACCCGAGGTACATTTCAGTGTTCGCGGCCGTATCTTCACCAAATACGGATTGTCGAACGTAGCTGTTGACTCTATCCGCTCCTATCACCGCTTCTGCTGTCGCTGTTGTGCAATCTGCGAAATAAAGAGTGAACAGACCTTGATCACCGCTCTCATCTACTACCCTCTTGCGGAATTCGGCAATGTCCTGGGGCATGAACCCAACTATTTCATTAAATAATGAAAAATAGAACTGTACACACTATTAGAACATTCCCAATTGTAGAGTGAAAACAGAACCTTGGAAAACTCGCTGCCATTGTCGTGATAGCCGCCCGAGAAATCAAAGTACAATTCTTTGCGTCCTTCGAACATATTAGCACAGTTTGATTTACAGACGCCATGTGTTGCGACGGCTTTGAATGTAGTAGACACACTGAGCTCGCATGCTTCGCAAATATAGTTTGGAGCAAATGTAACACCAGCACCAATCTCGGAAAAGATGTGGCCTCGCTCGTGTATTTTGCAAGAGATGCCTCGATTAACAAGACCCAAAGCTAAAGTTATTCTAGCGATACCTCCACCAACGATAGCAATTCCATATGAGGATACTCAGAATGAATTTCAGGCATATTTTTCACTTGTGGTGTATGGAGAAATAGGTTGGTGATTGAGTGGAGAAGTGGGACAATAGATAAATGTGACGATGATCTCTTTAGTAAAATCATATTGATAGAGTGGCTTGATTTCGGATTGAGTTTGTCTATGAGGTAGTATCAATATATATATCTCTATATTTCAGCTCTTTGACGGCCCGTTTATCTTCTTCGCCGTGCGTCCTTTCCCCCCTAAAAAGTCGTCACCAGTGATTCGAGAGATTTCGCTTAAACTTATCCCCCCACGCTTGTACAAAAGTAACGTCACATGTATGACGAAACCACCAATCACAAGCTTCGGAAACAATGGATGTCTGGGTGCTTCGGACGGTTGGAGCCATCAATTTCAAAAATTTGCGGCGGCTCAAGTTGTCTTGATATGGAAGCACTTCCAGCACTACAGATTATCCTACACGACCGACTAATCACAACTGATCTTGTACTGATCTTTATCTCCATTTGATGTTGCGTTCCATCCCCCTCCCACTAAGCGCCGTTTACAACAGATGTGGTTTTTTGCATGATTACCGTTCCGTTTTAGAGACCAAGACCAGATCTGGCTATCAAATGGCTTGCTCACCGTTGCATTGAAATTATTTGCACTCCGCAAAGATAATGACATTTTCCAAAGGACAAATGACTTGACATCGCTGCAATGTGCCTGGGACAATATGCAAGATCTTTGCTGCACACAGGATCCGAAATCAACTACCATGCTATATCTTCCTGGTATAATCGATGCCCAAAGGATCATCAGGTACATACTTCTGGGCTTCTTTGATAATTACGATAACTGCCGAAGCTGTCTATGGTAGCTGAAATTCATAGCACACTCATCGTAAGCTTCTGGCCGACATGTTGCGTCACGCTACAGACATGTGTCGGATCAACACAAATGCTTACAGAGCCTGTTTCTGGTGTCTTATTCGCCACCTGTAAGACCGATCTTGTCTTGATACGATTGTTACCAAGACTAACCCAATATTACATCCGAGCCGTGGGATCAGTGTGACTTATCTCCTTACTCATTGTTTTCTATCGAATCATTTCTACAATGAGATTGTCCCCCTTAGAAATTTCTAGATCGGTGCGTGTGAGTGACAAGCGAGGTTACCATAGGTAGTAAGGTGCTTCGACCCGACAGGAAAGTGTTGATTCAAATACTGTGTATGCATACCAAGGCTTAATCAATTGTCGAAAATGCTGATCAGTTTAACCCAAACCGCCCCTTTGAACAATTTATCACTCGCGTAGATAATCTTTTATCGTCCTTTCGCCGGCGGCTCGAAATACTGTCCAAGATATTTTTGGCTCGCCGTGTAATCTTGATGCTTTCATTTTTGCTTTCGTACCGCTGCAACATTGAAATAGATCCAAGAAAGAAAATGAAGGTGGATGAGACTATTACAACTAGGGGCGCTATGGTACCAATTTTGGGGAATAATCTCAACACAAGGGTAAAATTAGCGAAGCAAGCAAGCCATGAATGTGGTTGGTATGTGATGCTGTGGTCACGGAGTTGTATTCAAAGGCAGAAGTTCCAGCTTTTCAAATCTCACATCCTCATCTTCTCTTGTCCTATCCTAAATCTAGGATGGAGACCCTACAACCTATCAATTTTGAACGTTCTCTAACTTTCCATCCTTCTAAGAAAGATTTTCATCCTCATGGAAGGGCATGTGTGATACTTTATGAAAAATGTTGGGAAAACGTAATAATTAGCTGATATGAAACAATCGAGATATTATGGATGAGTCTGATTCTTTCTCACTCCCTTGGATTGCTATGAAACTCTCAATTCATCTTCTTCTTTCGAACCACAGACAGTTTCTATAACCACCCTCAATTGAGTTTGTCACAATCTGGCCCTCAATCCAGCCCTTTTCCTCATCACCTTCCACTCCCTCGCTAAAATGTTTGTCTATCTTTACCAATCCATAAACTACTTCTAGAAAGGTGCCAAATAGTCGCACTGGTACGTGTTCTACTTCGCAAGTTTCCTTCAAACCTTATGTAGGTCCAGTTCCACTAGGATGTGTATTCGACCCAATATACCCTGTTTGAATCAATTCATTTAGCCACGATTGAGAAAAGAATCGGTGGCATAAAATGCAAATGCCCTCTTCAAAATTTCAAAATAACGATCAGTTGTCTGTAGATTTGCTGCTGAATTAGAGTTTGCTGCCGAGCCAGTCCTACTGTAGAGAGACCATGGTCAATGATGCCCAGGTATTTGTAGACCTTGAGATTGAGATTGAGATATCAACTCAAAAGATAGAAGAACAGATTAAGAAGAAATGGTTTAGAATTTTATGCATCATGGAAATCAAGACCAGGGTCTCGTTCACAAAGACAGCAATATATCTATAGAAATGGAGTGAAACGGTGAGGTTGTTGTGGTTGTGTGTGTACCACGTGACCGTTGCTGCTACTTCTCGTGACTTGATAATTTTCGGAATAATTCCGATGAATTAATTCCGCTCTAACGGCCCCTCCTATCGGTTTGTATAGGGTTATGTTCTTACCCCGGATTTCTGAATGAACACTCCGCATTATCAATAATAAATCTGGAAAATTATCTCACTTATTGTTCCTTATAAATCAGCTTCGTGAATCGAATCAATAAATTGAATTTGTTATTCCTTGTGCTGTCGTTCTTTATTTTGCTTTAATTTATTTCCATTGACACGGTAGAAATCGTCATATCCCTTGAATAAATATACACGCGGTGCAACTCTTTAGCTCTCCAGTTCATTGGGTCCCCATAACACAAATATGCCTAACAATTTGTGTTTAAGAACGGCGAGAGTTTATGTTAGGACTGGCAGAAAGGTAGTCTGCTGGCATAATCTGATCCATATATATATCTTTTTCTAATTGAGGTTCTAGCAATCAATATTACTCGCTCGTACATTTGCATCGACCACTCGCCGCAATGAAATAAACAAAGTATTTCCATCAGCCTCTGAGGCTCTCAAAGATATGAAGCCGGACAGTACAGTTCTATGCGGAGGCTTCGGCCTCTGTGGTGTTCCAGATACCCTCATTGATGAAGTCGTCAACAGACCAGAGCTCAAAGGCCTTACTGCAGTTTCAAATAATGCTGGTACGGATGAATCAGGTCTTGGGAAATTGTTGAAGACGAAGCAGATCAAAAAAATGATTGCAAGTTATATCGGGGAGAATAAAACTTTTGAGAAGATGTACCTGACTGGTGAAGTCGAGTTGGAATTGACACCACAAGGAACGTTGGCCGAGAGATGTGCTTCGGGTGGTAAAGGCATACCTGCTTTCTACACCCCTGCTGCATTCGGAACGGTTGTACAAACCGGCGAGCTTCCACTTCGTAATAATCCTGATGGTACACCAAAGGAGCTTTCTTATCCAAAGGATGTAAAAGTCTTTCACGGCAAACCATATCTGCTGGAAGAGAGTATTCGAGGTGATTACGCTTTCGTGAAAGCTTGGAAAGCGGATAAACTTGGAAATTGTCAATTCCGTTTAGCAGCCAACAATTTCAACGGTGCAATGGGAAGAAACGCGAAGATGACAATCGTGGAGGCAGAAATTATTGTAGAGCCAGGAGACATCCCACCGGAAGCTGTACATCTCCCGGGAATTTATGTCAAGCGAGTTGTTCAATCTACAACGTCCAAGAACATCGAAAAATTCACCTTTGCAAAAGATCCAAATGATCCAGCGGCAAAGAGTGCGCTTGGTAGTGGTGATACCGCTGCCAAGAGAGAGAGAATCGTTAGGCGCGCCGCCAAAGAATTCAAAAATGGTATGTATGCCAATCTCGGCATAGGAATGCCTATGCTTGCGCCATCGTTTGTTGGTCCAGAAGTCGAAGTACAACTACAATCAGAGAATGGTATCTTAGGGTTGGGTCCTTATCCTCAAAAGGGGTTTGAGGACGCGGATCTCATCAATGCTGGCAAAGAGACAGTGACACTAAACCCCGGTGCTGCAGTTTTTGGTAGTGAGGAGAGCTTTGGTATGATTCGATCTGGAAGAGTAAATTTGACCATATTGGGAGCTATGCAAGTAAGCGGGAATGGTGATCTTGCGAATTGGATGTTACCCGGGAAGATTAAGGGCTTCGGAGGGGCCATGGATTTAGTTAGCAATCCTTCAATGACGAAGGTTGTTGTAACAATGGAGCACTGTGATAAGAAAGGAAATGCAAAGATTGTCAAACAGTGCGAGTTTCCTCTCACAGGAAAAGCTTGCGTCTCGAGGATTATTACTGAACTGGTGAGTGGCGTAATATCCGCGCTGATGATCAAGTGATCACCTGGCGGCTGGTGATGGATGGCAAAGAACAAACAGTGCTAACAAATATGTAGGGGGTATTTGATGTCGACTTCACAAAAGGACTTACCTTGATTGAGATTGCAGATGGTGTGACAGTGGAAGAGGTCAAGAGCAAGACAGATGCACCTTTTACAGTTGCAGAAGATCTTAAGCCAATGCTATAAATCATAGATACGAAAGCATGCGGTTTTGCATATATTGACTGGGAGTATAGCCCTGCTTCACTGCGGTATAATACTGGGATTTAATTACATACTTTACTGTAGATAAAATGACTTGATCTAAGGATGAATCACAACTCGGGTAACTTCACTATTATGAAAATTGTAACTGTGAGAAGCTTCAAATTCCTATCTTTCAAAGGGTGCCAATCGACCATACGGTGGTTCCTTAATGATGAGA